AATCATAGTGATACTGTTATGCTTTGTGAAATTTCATTCGCTCACCATTATTTTTTGTATCTTTTGAATTAATGCATTCATATGTGTGCGTGTGTATTTGTGGATGACCTAATTGTTTTCAGTAGGTTTAGTTTATTGTTAATTGGTTGATACTAGAAGAAATGAGATTAGTATTAATTGTCTTATAGCTGGTGCTGTCTATTACATGTGTGTGCTTGGTAGTTTTAGTATATGTATCACTGATACCACAATTATCAGAATAATAGATGACAATACATATAGGCCTGTATTGATCGAGCTTTATTGTGTTCATATTAGGTCAAAACAGACTTCAAATTCGTAGTATTTTGACATAGTTAAAAAGTAAATCATTGATGAATTAACAGTACCAATAGTGTGAATGTGAAAATATGCTTCGAAGATAGGAGCGAAAATTGATTCCGCTTCGCCGAAAGCCTGAACCTCATGGACATTTTCAATAAGTTTATGGTGTCACTTGATGTAACCTGTCCTCTGTTCACAAGGATCCCAATCAATACAACTATCCATATTATTTGTCAGGATTCTGATCTTTCTCACTCCTAGTATTGGAATTTAAATGCCTATTACTAATGGGTACTATGGATGTACATTTCCATTTTGACGATACTGTTTACCGTCAAATGGATAGTTTACCTGAGTGCAATCCCATTAAGTTCTATTTTAGAAGAAATCTTTGTGTCAAATTGCGAGAGAACACAATTGAAGCCTCCACTCCGCGAAACAACTGTTGATGTGTCAATGACACATTTGTAGTATGCAACAGTGAAAGTTACGCGTTCTATCCACTTGGACTACGCAATGACGCATATGCAAGTAGTGACTTCATTATATGACAAGAAAGTGATGGGAAGTCTCATTTCCTTGACATCGCCTGGAAGATGGTAGTCTTCAGAGATCGATTCACCGAAAGACTACATCGAATGGACAAGACTTACATTTTAATAGTTTTTGTTCAAATTAGCTATAAACGACCACTGGTCAAAACTCTGTTTTAAAGAATCAGGAGAATATGCTCTACCGGGAAATTAAAGGAAGAATTTCTGATTCTTGAGATGTTGAGATCCAACTGTTACCCTCAGAAATTAAGTAACAATTACGAAAGATGTGAAGATTCAAATCCCTCACAAGTCACAGTGGAAAAGAAATTTACGCTAGTGCCATTATCAGGCATCTCGTCCGTACGGGCGGGAAGTCGTCACCTTGAAGTATTTCGAAATTATCATTAGACAATATAATTCGATTCTCCCTTCAAGTTTACCGAAGCAGTTGCTATGAAACACTTTAGACCGCATTTGTGTGTTCAGAAAAAAAAGCGGCTATCAATCTTTTCTTGCCCTAGTAACTGGACATATTTACTCTCTCTCTCTCTCTTTCACTCGATTACGTAATGCTTGGCTTTAACCTCTCCCCCTTTCACTGGAGTGTAACTTTGCTTATCCCTTGCTTCTATGATTTGAGTTGAATTCAACTCTTTGTTATTCATTTTATTTGTTACTCATCATCTTATTCACTTCTTGGCTTTATTGCGGAACTCTTGCCATTATATCTAAGCATTTATTTTGTATAAACATAGACTTTCTGGGTATAAGTTTTGTAAGTGTAACTTCTGAGCATTGATTGCTGAGTTTGGACTCTCCTGTCAGCTGACATCATGTCACACTTGCGAGTTTATTAAGAAATGTTCTGTACACAATCTGAATTGTATGTATGTTGGCTGTACGCAGATGTTGAGAAGCCAACGAAATAAATGATGAAAGTACCATCTTATTTTCCACAAATTGTTGTTCTTGTTTTATTCAAATCCATAAAGCGGGAGAATAAGTGAATGAAGTAAAACAATAACTGAGCAGGATGATATGATATTCATCATATTTCATTGGCTCCTGTTAATTGCATACAATCTAAAACGGTCTTAATGTCAATGCACAAAATATCGCCAAACTTTAATTTATTTACAGGATTTCATCATGAGCTAACATCGGTTAGAGAACCATTCGAACACCTGGGAGTACTGGATAGCTGTCTCGTCCTAGTTTCGGACCCTTCAGCAGTGCACACCCACCATAAGGGTTCGAACCCTCGGCCCTCCAGTTACTAGCCGACCTCGCAGAACATTAAGCCACTGGGGACCGATCCAACGGCCACTCCATGAATTTCAACTTCTGCCAATCCACGACATAACACGACCACCTGACAGTGTCATTGGCGAGGATTTTTCCTTACACCCGACTTGCTTTAATCCACTGGTGAAGATTTCTCGCTTCTCCCAGGTTTTCCAATGGTTCGCTAACCAATGTCAGTTTGTGCTGAAATCCTGTAACCAATCAAATCAAATCCGTGCAAAGTAACACTTGAGTTTCTCGAAAACAATTTTTCATTCAAAATCATCTTATTCTGATTACACTAAGGGGATTTTTAATTTAATTAATTTGTTTAGAGTTGGAAGTCATTACCATTAGTTTATTGAATACAATGAATAATTAAAATAATTACAATTCTTTGTAATTTTGTTGGTATATGCAGAAAACTTGCAGGGATATTCTAGAGACAGTAAGGAAGTTGGACAGTAATTAGGCATAGAATTAATTACACGTGTTACATAACACTCATATACTTTAGACAGTTTGACAGGATTCAGAGAAAGTTGAGCAGAAGTTAAATAATTAGGTCAAGAGTATTGACCACCGAAACGGATTTAAATTGGAGTAACAAAAAATAAAATGCAATAAGTGAGAAGAGACTCTTTATTTCTTCCAGTAACTCACTAAATCGACTCTTCCAATCTGTTTGCCTATGGGGCAGTTATTCAGTCAGCACATCTATTTTTCAGAGTTCTGTAATCACGGAATATACACATTGGGTCATAGGATTATTAAAAAGACAATTGCAGCGGAGAAAATTTTTTTTTACGAAGTCATCATCTAGGCTGTACATTCGTGTATTGATATCAAATGGATGGGAAAGTTCCAGAATAATTTTCGGTTAAGGGGCAAATTAATAAAAATTACAATTAGGAATTAGAATGCCATAATAAACAGGGGGATGGATAAAACTCAAAGTAACGTTATAATAACTAAGAAGTTTGACATTGTGCAATTGGGGGTTAGAAATGTAGAAATAACAAAATAGACAGGATGTTTGGATAAAAAAAACTTATGTGATGAATAATTGTTTATGCAATCAGGGATTAAATATGTAGAAATAGTAAAATGACAAAATAAACAGAAAGTGTGCATATGAAAATATAGTAGTGTAGACAGGGATTAAGAAAAACTTAAAATAACATGAATAAAGGCGATGGGATGGTCATTACTAGAAAAAAAATTTACCTGTTCATGATGGCCATGGCAGGGACAGGAGTCGGACGTATTTCTTTTGGATACAAAGCGCGGGTTTGAGCTTTTGGATAGCTAGCGCCTCAGCTATGCCCAGATGTCTTGATTTCACTCCCTTTGATAGGTTTGATTGAATCTTGTATATTACTTTGAAGGATTTTTCGAAAGGCGCTGAATGTCCTGAGTTGACCAGATGTTCTGTAATCGCAAGCCTTTTTGTCCGTTGCCACATATTTCCTAAATTTTTATCACTTAAAATCCGTTAGCCGTGATTCAGGGATTTACGGGTGTAACCTTAAAGTCATAGTTATGTAGAAATTTACTCTGATTAGAAATAATCACATGCTCCCAAAGTGATCTATAGTCTACCTAAATGTGTCTCAAGCCAGCGTATAATCTTTCCAACGGCTTAGATATCTGATTCCCAAACAGTGGGTTATTGGTTCAAACTCTTGCAGTTGGACAAATAATTTCGAAGTCGGGGTCATTTATCAATACACAGTAGCCTAAATGTGACTCCAGACTTAATTCACTAAGTTAGACAACTGGGTAATATCATAAACTCCCACATAAAAGGTGGGCTTCATTTTCAAGCGCTTGGAAAAGCAAGTGCTACCATTTAAGTGCTCATTTCCTAACAAACCTAAGACTCCCCAGTGGCTTAATGGTTTGCAAAGTCGGCTAGTAACTGGAGGGCCGAGGGATCGAACCTTTGGGGTTGGTAAGTACTGCTGAAGGGTCCGAAACTAGGACGAGACAGCTATCCAGTACTCCCAGGTGTTCGAATGGTTCTCTAACCGATGTCAGCTCATGATGAAATGCTGTAATAGAAGTCTAATCTAAAAGTGCTACACTGACTTAAAATTTTTCGATAAAGAGCAAGTCAGCCTGTAGATTTGTCGATTATTTCAGTTTGGTTACTTATTGATTGATATAAACTGAATTATCAGGGGGTTGTGTGTACAAAAATTTGCCATTGCAAGTTTTTATACTTCGGAAAAGTACATATTAAAGAAGAAGAAACGTATTGTAACTAGAATGGAGAAGTAACAATTAAATGAAGATTTATGCATATTTCCAAAATCTGGAAAGTAATAAGATGTATCGTTGTAAACGATTTTGAATCATATCATCAGGAATTATCAACCATTTATTTTTAGCATCCTGAGGACTTCAAACAGGCAGTCTGCTTGTTTCTCGAATCAATAGTCGAAGGCATGTAGGATTGGTGTCATGTTTTGTTTTGCTTATCCATAACTGTTTTCCAAACTAATTGTACATTAGCTGGCACTATTTGTCAGTGACGGTGATAGCTTGGCGTAAATAACACATATCCCAGCCATTTCAATCGGTGGCACTTCACAAAGTCATCGATTGACTTCCTCTGCTCACCTAACACTATGCACTTAACCTCATTGTTATATATCATATCATGCCATCTAACACGAGAAATTTTTATTTATTTTTATTTCTGATTACAGCTTGATTCCACATCGTATTTTCAGTACAAGTATGGAATTTTCAGCATGGACATCGGTAGCCCAAATTTAGCAGGCCGACCATAGATATCGGGTGTGCGTCGGCCGGGGATCGAACCCTGGACCATGTGCATGGTCGGCGAGAGTCCTAACCACTGTGCCACCGACGCACAATCAGTCAAACCACTGTTCTTTCATACCCAGTTCTAATCCATTGACTTATTAAACCTTAAACATTTATTAACTGTTGGTCACTCTAGTCAGTCTTTATCGGTGCTTAATGTATGCATTCACTTTATGGCAGCATGACTTAGGAATAGTTGTTTAGATGACATAAACTGTTTATCTATATATCTGCATATGTATCTTTTTTTATAAGCTAATAATTTCTAATAAGCAAACGTATTATTTGCTTCATATATTTATTCGTTTCACTGCGTGTATTTATTCAGTTTATCGAACGATTTGTGATACTACTTATTGGACAGGCTACGCTTATTTTGCACGGTACACGTATTTTTTAACAAATGTCTACAACACTACTTAAAAGGAATTGAGTAGTGCGGGTTATGTTTGACAGACTAAATAGTTACCATATTCAACAGCTTTTCCGATTCTACCTTTGACATCCTAATCCTGTAGTTGAAACAACGAAGACCATGTCAGGTAAGTGAAAGAGGTGACTTCTTGTAGATTTCTGCCAATAATGGTAATTGGTGCTTGTTGTTGTTATTGGTTAGGTACCTTCATCATCCATCTTTTCTGTGTTCACTTGAAGTCACGTTTTCGCTGCTTCTTCTGCCACCTTGTTGATTTTCGCTTGTAGATCTTTGAGTTTGTGTGACGTTATACACAAATTATCCGCAAAGTCCAGACCTTCTTGTCGGCCCAGAGTATTTCTATCTTGCTACTTCCTACGATCTGTTGCGTTATGAGGTCCACCACTATTCTGGGTGTCATCGGTGATAGTAGGCAACCTTGTCTTACTCCTGTCCTTATTTCAGACGTCTCTCTGGGCTTTCTGTTGGGAAGGACTGGACATGTAGCACCATCATATATCTGTTGAATGAGGCTGATAAACGGTTCGGGCACTTCGTAGTGTTTAAACAGCTTCCTAATTATTTCATGATTGCTGTTGTCGAGTGCTTTTTCACAGTCATTGAAGTTGAGGCAACTAGTTGACCTCATTTCTAGGCTGTATCTGTCAGATGATGTAAATTCTGACTTAATGTTTTCATCTTCCTATTTTCTCACTTAAATGACACAGTGTACTGCTTTCTTTTCCAGATGCCCAATGATCCTACTCTTCGTCTAAATGCATTTTCTAATCTGCTTATTACGAAACCTTTAATTATGGATACACACTTAAGTAATAATGTTGGTGTGAACAATTTGGAGGTCTTGAATTCGGAAACCTCATACTTAATACCGTCGCATATGTCATGGTTGGATAAAACTAATCAAGGAAATACTGTTATGCGATTTAATCTGGTAAGTATCTCTGACTAATTCTAGTCATAATAATAATATTTATTTTCCTTTTGAACGTCGGTTAGTCACTTGTTTCTCCATTGGTCAATTTTGGTTTTATTTTCTTGCATCTAGTTGACGCCTGGTAGTTTAAATCTGAAAATTTTACAGACATGTTAAAGTGTAAGTTTTCTTGACGACAAACAAATTGAATACAGCTTAAAGGGGCTGGATTGTAAAGGAAATTGAAGAAAATGAACATTATGTGTGGGACATGAGCTGTTTAAGAATAGGAGAATTTCTGTGACATAGGATAGTTGGGGAACACTTTAACTTGTACATTCATTTAAATTCACTACACCCCACCTTGTTTAACACTGTAGTCACTACTGTTATCATTCACTGCTCTTCTGAACTATTCTTTTTTCATTGGTCAACCGTTGTGGTAATCGTCTTCATCATGGATGGCACCGATAGTTAGTTACCTCTTTTTGTGATACACTGAAAGCCTCTACATAAATACCTACAAACACTTTTAGTGCCTTATTCATTAACCATCATTTCTAAGTAGTTAGGTGATAAACTTGAAGTGGGTAAAAATTTGTTTGACAATCTATATTTGCTGTCGTTTGAATAACTACATTTGTGTGAAAGCTGCTATATTTATTTGTCTGCTTCATGGACCAGTCATCATACTTTCACTCCTAGTCAACATTTCCTAAAGGACTTGAGAAATGCATCAGTTTTGTAAAGTCAAATTGGTCTAATTTCGGTATCTTTATCCCACACAATAAACATACATCCATAGTGGGTTTAATATCTACTTATTGCTGTTGACAAAAACACGTAGGTCCCAGCAATATTTGAAAATGCCGCTTTTGATTCTCTTTTTTGAAATTTCCTCTGTGTCCTTGTAAGTTTACCGTCTATTCTTTGCAAATACCCATATGCTAGCTCTTAGTGGGAGAAACCTAAGAGAGACACGAATAGAAATTTAGGATTTTCCTCAGACACAACTGATACCGTACATATCTATTTGCTTAGAACTGGAACGCATAAATGGTAGATTAATCAGTGACAAAACTTGCTTGGTGTTGTGTTGATGAAAACTGCCCCCCTTTGAAGTAGCAAATAGTAAAGAAACGTTTTTTAGTACCGAAGAAAGGATGAGTAATTAAAGACAGATGAAAATGTTCATAATTTTCAAGAATATAGTTGAACACACCTGTCGCGTTGTATAGAAGACTTGGTTATGCACATCCTTTATCCAAACAGTATACGCTACACAAATGAAACCAGCAGTTAGATTTACCAGTTTTATGTCATTTCTCGGATGGACGGTTGATAACGTTTCCCGAGTGATCGGTATTTCAGTTGACTTTAGTTGTTGAGTAAGTCTTTATCTTGGAAAACCAGCATCTCAACCGTCTTAGTCGACAATTACTCATTACTGAATCGATTGTCCTGTTATCTGTTTTAAGAATATGTATCAACCACTTTGTCTGTTTACTACACTCAAGTTGTATTACAAAGATACCTATGAAACCTGTGATCTTTTCATATATTTTGATTGAACCCTTCATATTTCATAGCCGAAAATAAGAACATCACTGAAGGCACTACATTCACCTTTTAGCCTGATATTTCGCCTGCATCAAGGATGATGCGAGTTGGTGAATTTGTAAAATAAATGAATTCTGTGTAACATGGATGCTTCAACATTTCGTAGGTATGCATCAGTTCGTTTTTCCCAGTTTCGTTATCACTGCATTTTTACTGTTGTGTTACGTTGTGTGTATTTCTATTACATTTGTTCCTCATTTGCCTTTTTATTCATATTTCATTCTTTTTCTTTTCATTTTTTAGCCATATAACGGCTTGTTAGTAAAACTTGGTCCATTTTTTGAAGATCCACGGCAATCTGTTCTTCTCTTAGTCTCTAATGTGAGTTAATCTGCCCTCTCATCCTTTTTTACTTATTCTAAACGTAATAAAAATTGCTCTTCACATCGAAAGCCTTTAGATTTTTCCATTATTATCCTGCCAATGGATATTCGTAAATTAGCGAAGTTTTTGGTTCCATGGCGTAACTATTTACTCGCTCATCTTTCACACAGTGAGACATGGAATTGGACCTAGTTCTAACTAATCTAGCCTAATAAACCAGCTAGTATTCTACACCCCTAAAATGTAGTTGGAACGTATTGTCAAGTACACAGAAATTCACTTGATTGCTGAGTGATAGAGATGACTTTCTAGTGTAAACTGAGATGCTTCAGTTATAAGTGCCTAATGTTGTTCCCTAGGGATGTCTCTTTTAATTTAGTAGGATTGGTACTCTACTGATACGCTTCTATGTAAGCTGGTCTAATTAATCGGATTTTGAATAGGAAATATTATATAATTGTCTACAACAGGTATAGTTGGTGCGGAATTTTAGTAGAAAAGGTGGTTTTTAACAATTTTGTGCAGGTAATGTTAGCGGATTGTGAGTCAGTGGTTGTTTATAGGTAGGATGGTGGACAACCACGCGGGAAGTTCAATTCAGATTGCTGGTTGACTGACTCCTAGACGTCAACTGTAGTAAGTCAGAGAATGAAAGAAGGTTGACTGTGAGGCACACAACTCCACTCCCTTAAAATACACTATAGCTATTAAAACTTTAAAGCTGAAAAGCCTGTGTTGCACTGGAAACGTAAGAAAAAAAACACGAAATAAGGTCAATGACACGGTTACTGAAGATCGTCCTGTTTTGTGAACTGCCAAATTTTACTTATGAGGAGAATAAGACATTACGCAGTAAAAAATAAATCTGTTTGTCCTGTTTGCAGCAGATCTCATCACAATTGAGTCAACCGGAATAGACTTTAATGTGCGATGCTGTGAGCTGTTGATACTACGCAGTTGCCTAGGTTAAAGTAGGTGAAGTGAGATGTGAATCTGGGGTACATTGGGTAAAATTCAGATACTTGATCTAATGAACTACATCTCCACAATCATCAGAAGTGTACCCTTATCAATCCAGCCTAACGCAGAAAACTTTCCTAAGACGCAGCTTTGGTTAGTGTGTGGTGTGTGCTACTCAGATTTGTCTATAGTGTATAATGAGACGTTCACTGGCACAAAAATATCAAATAACGGAGAGATAGATTTGATGTCAAAGTGCAGAAATGAGCTACGAAATACGGCAGACACAAAAAGAAGACAAAGAAAGACAATACGAAGTACAGAAGTAGCACACAACATAGATCTGTGCAAATGACGATAGTTGATGTGATCGAATTTGCTTTAGAATTGAGAAAACATGTTTGATTGTTATTGTCTTTCCACTCACTCACTATTAAAATGAATATTGTCCAAAAACTAATAATGCACTCTGTTGGTGCATGAAATTTTGATTGGAAAAACACTAAGGTAACCTTGTCTTATTTTCATTCAGTGGTAAATTAAATTATTCAAACTAACCGTCATTTCTTTTCTTTCTTTTGTCAATGCATAGGCACCACACAATTGGCTTCATTTATGTATTAAGACAAACAATGATAATGAAAAACACTGGTGAGTCACACACGCACACACTCATTGGTCACATAACATAAGTATCATTGGTTGTGTTTATTTGTGTGAATAAATGCATCTGTCAAATTTAAGTATTTGATTTTTTAAATTCATGTCCAACAGTTGATAAGATGTATGAAAATGCACTAGGCCAAGGTTATGTCTAGATTATGATGATGACTGGACTGTGAAGCGAGAATATGATACGTTGTTATGGTTCTACGTAGTTGAAGACAATCGATCATATGTGCTTGCTTCCATTCAGCTGCTTACAATCAAGTTGCACATCGTGAGATGATGCTATAGGGATGTTCTAGTAAGTGTTAGGCATTCAGGGAGTATTCACACAATGAGTTTATGAAATTCTATAAAACCAAGGGGATAGAACAGGCTTTATGCATGTTAACTTGTGCCTATGCTCGGGATGGAATGCTAGTTGAAGTGATAATATGTTGGTAAAACGTCAAGGGTGGGAAGACAACACCACCCCACACTGTGATATTAATAGTTGTCGGTCTATGCGGCGTATAAATCTATGGTCCACCTAATTGGAGTACTTGGGATGCCAAGAATCAACAGTTGAACATGTTATATAACCTGATTCAAAATCATTCACTATGACGCGGATGTATTCCATCCACATTATCATGCATCTTCTAAAAATGTTCAGTAACCTTCATTTATTTATTGTTTCTCTCGTCCATTGTAGTTTTATTGAATTGTGTAATACTACTCTTATGTATGATGTTTCGAAGTGTGACAGCTTGACCAATACTATCTCAGTAAGGATTTGTACAGTGAACTACAATGCTGTTCTAGCACTATCAGATTCGATCACTTTTCTTTCGCTGTTGGTGGAAATTATTCAAACTTTTGTCAACACTAATAACTTGATACCATCATCTCATTTATCAACTAGTAACTAACTCGTTAAATTAACTCTCTTCTCTAGAGGTGTGAGCTGTACATTTGATAGGAGGCCTTAAGTCTTGTGCCAATGTAGCTTTCGTAGCACTATCAGTGTCTGCTGAGAGTACTGTATTATCAGTATAGAAGTTAGATGTTCATCTTTAGGTATAGTTTAAGATAGCTTGTCTGCTCGTCATCTGCCTCAAAATAATTATGATATAATAATAGTTTTATTCTTGACAGAATGTTTACACAACGTATCAAATTCCCAGCTTTATTTAATGCAGAATATTTTCTCCTCATTCAGTACCTTCAAGTAGAATAGGAATCTATAGTATTACAAGCGATGCAATATTATTCGATCTATAGTGTGGACTACATCTCTATGATATTTTTCCTTTTTCCCCAAGAAATACATACGGGTAGTTTGGAAGTCAATTAAAAATATTCGTGAATACATTTTGCGACTCAAAGACATAACTGGATCCTTAGAATAGTAAGAATTAAAGAAAATATGATGCATCGTGTTGAATGGAAATTAAGTTAGCCCACTGATTCAAACGGCCTGCCAGATGTAATGCTAAGGGACTAAAGTTCAGGTTGGAAGAAGAAAGTGGTCAAATCAATGAGATGCCAGTTGATGAAATTATTAACTGTTAATATTAGATGGTTGGAGGCAATCGTCAGGAAGCCTTGGACCTAGGCTTCCTGCTAGTTGGCGCTCATCACTCAGCAAGGCGTATCTGCAACCTTGAAGGAATTCATGTCCCTTCTGAGATTCAAACCTGCGTCACCCAGTGCTGCAGTCAGAGACGTTACCACTGAGGTATTCGGGCTCGTGACTGATCTCCTGTAGGACTGCATTGGATGTTTTTGATTGTGTAATGTGTCTAGTCCTATGTTTAGTGCAGACTGATTTCTGTCAGTCAAGTTTGCAATGTGGCCACCATGCTAGGTGGCTCGCTGTCATTGTGCACTATGAATTGCTGATACTAGATGTTGTTTGATACTTTGATCGAATGCGCCTTGCTGACGAGTGCCAAGAAGCACGAAACCTATGTCCAAGGCTTCCTGCCGATTGCCTCCAACCATCTGATACCAACAATTCATAGTTTACCTTGATGGCGAGTTACCTAGCAGGGTGGCCACATTGCAAACTTGACTGATAGAATTCAGTCTGCACCAAACATAGGACTAGACACTTTACACTAGTTACTGACTAGTGTCCAATCGAAGTTATTAACTATTAGTTACAGCCATGTACGAATGTGTGAGTTAATTATTCGGCCTCCACGTAAACATGTGATACAGCTCAATATTGAATTCAGTGACGCATGCTTATTTATGCTTAATCTTCATGTTGATTGTAACATAAGCTATCTAAGTTTACAACTCTCCCCCCCCCCTTTATCTATGATTTTTGACAGCAGTAATCCATTTTCTTTGCCTGTTAGAAGTGTAGATAAGTGGTATGGTTGAGTAAATCACTACTCATTAATGTTAGCATCCATTTTATTAATGTCTACTTATCTACTTTGTACTGGGTCTGTTCAGATTTCAAAAGGTTATTCTAATAATATCGATTACAATAACATTAGTCATCTTCAATTATTATTTTTTGTTGGATTTGTTTCAACAGTGACTTCATTACTTCAATCACTTCGAAATGGATTACGTGGATACCTGATCCTTTAACAGGAAATTCAATAGCTGCTAGTCTGATTACACTATCAATCTTAGAGAGTTTACAATTGGTCAACTCCTCGTTAGTGTATAAGGCTAAATTTTACTTGGTCGTCTCATCTAGTCCAGATCCATTTTGGAACAGTGTAAGTTCCAGTAAGCTTTTTTTAATTTTCAGTGATTTTTAAAAAGTTCTTGTGTATGCGCTACAGAGTCTGTAGCTGATAAATATGAATTATTATTTGTTTAATGTGAATGAGAAATCCCCAAATTGAAACATTAACAACGAAGAAAATTTTCTCCTCGACGAATTATTTTCAAGAGCTGTACAACAAAGGACCTATAAAACCAATCAAGTACTCGTAACCGTATTCTAGAAAATGTGTTACTAATGTGAGGTATAGTGCATCGGTGATACAGCGCTAGAATGCTCGCCAACCACGCGCGTGGTTCAGGGTTCGATTCCCGGCCGACACACACTCCTTTACCTCACTAAGTCAGTAAGAAGATTGGTACAGAGGGAAGGTTGAGGATGAAGCTAGCAACCTCATCCCGTAAAAATAAACACCACTGCTACTGAAAATTCAAAGCGCTAGCTTGAATCTCTATGTTCCACTAAGAACGTAAAGGAATAAAATAACAATGTGGGGTGTATCCTAGATGGGGATGACTAAGTGGAGATTAGAAAAAAGAAACGGAAGTTGGAATTATGTGATCAGTGTGAAGAAAGTCTAATCAATCTGAATGGAAAAGAGGTAAGGGAAATACGGTAGACTGTTTGTGTAAAGTCTGTATGAAAAATGCAGTGTTGTCAATGTGCAATAATAGTAAACAATAGTAATGTAACAGCAAAAGGCAAGAAACGGAAGTTAAGGTGTATTTTCATTTGAGGAAGCCACTATTTATGCACACAATTTATGTTTCTTTTGACCAATCACTGAGCGTGTTATTTTTGTTTACATTAAACGACGTGAAATAGAATGTTCAAATATATGCAATATTCTGTTGCTTATTCAAACAAATACAATTCAGTATTAAACTGTAGGTATAGTATTCAAACGTTAACATCAACAAATAAAATGATTCTAACTATGAGAATAATATTGCTTTGGAACACTGTCTGTATCACACCACCACAGTAATAAATAATAATTATTATTATGAAATGATGATAATAATAATAATAATAATCTAAAACAATGTGAAACAAAATTATGGCTAGAATGTTACTCTGACCCCACTATAAAGCAAGTGATTGCCTGTTAGGCTTTTGAAGGTAGAGGTTTCGTTTCAGGTCACGAATAGTAAGTGAGTCAGCCCTTTCACTCAATATTGAGGAACTTTGGGTAGCACTGTGAAGTAATCATGTAAGGGTACCCTATGTCCAGAGTTAACAAGGTGTTTTCGAGGACAAAATTACTGGCATTCCTTTTTCGTCTCCTCTAGCTAACCAAGTTCGACAGTGTTTTGAGAGTATGTTGATGGAATTGACTTTGTGTGTGGCTCATATAATCCACAGGAACACGTAAATTGATAAATACATACACCTTGAGGTGTCTAAAGGTGGTATCTTATCCTTAACATGTGACTGGATTAACTGTCTACTGAAGAATGTAATTCGCAAGGTGGCTAGGTTTACACCTCACATTATGTAATACATTTTCCAGAATATGGTTACTAGTATCTGGTTGGTTTATAAATTCTTTGTTAAATATAAATACAAGTATATTGCTCTTGAAAATGTTTCGTTGAACAGAAAATCTTCTTCGGTATTACGTCTTCTTTTGTTTAATTTATTATTTCTTCTTAAAAAAAAGCCCAAATACACAACACAAATAAGTGGTACTGAAAATAGAATGAACTTTTTGTTTTAAGTATTATTGATGCGTCATTTTAGCTTTGTAAATTTATATTTCAAATTGAAAGACTGATTAAGCGGATGAAGAACATGCTCATATAGATAACTTTTGCCTTGAGAATATGATTGCATAGTGAAATATCCATATTATTTGGCGTATAATTGTTCTGAATAAGACTGGTAATTTTATTTTATAACATTACACCATTCAAATAACAGAATCTAGAAGTTATATGCTAAAAACGTTGTATCAGAATGGTAATATCAATTGTTAATTATATAACTAGAACAGAGGTCGAAACGTGTGTGTACATGAGATAACATGCATAAATGTATCACTAGATTATTTTGTCAGTTATCTTAAGAATTTTCTTTTTGAGAGCAATTTGCTATTACTGACAAGAAATAACATTTTAAATGAATTTTATTTCGCATGATTATAAATTTTACATGAATGAATGTTACCGTTAATATTTGAGAGATAAATTAGCACTGGAAGGCTATGCGTTCATGTGTCTGTTTACAGAGGCACTACGCATGTATCTTACTTTCGTAGTCGGATATACTACTTTACTAACTTTTTTGGGTAGCTAGTTTCATTTGGTCCAACCACACATATTCTTAACATACAGCTCTCACGCCATATATATGTATCTTTATATTAGATTAGTTTTCCTCTGGAAGGAGTGAAAACAAGAAAATTTGTATATTTCCTCCCCCAAGTAGTTTTCTCGTGTAAATTTCTCCTTGTGGCACTAGCTAATCTTTTTTGAAAACAAACACAAGGAGACAGTTTACTTTGGAGTTCGTTGTCACAAGTGGATTTTTCTGCTAAATGTAACTTGTTTGGTATGAGCAATTACCACAAGTCTAATTTATTTCCACATGAGGATGAACTTATCCACATGTCATCGACAATAAATTACAGATTTGCTAATAATATTTTTCAGTGTGCGAAGAAGAAATCTGCCAGTATGACACTCAGTAGGCGGTATATTGCTACTGCTTAGCTGTAGGACTGACAATTAAATTTAAAAATCACGTTCGAACTTAAGTTAAGGAATAATTCTTTAAAAACTTCCATTTTTGTCTCTAGGGTGTAATTCCTAGCCAAAGAGGAAGCACTAATTCCAGTCGATTAGACAGTAACGCGGATGTTCCAAACACAATGTTTATTCTCAAAGCAAAGCCATACTGAACTAAATCAAAAAGACTGGCTCTGTTGAATCTCAGAATGATAAAAACATAGTCATTTTGAAGGCTGATAAGGGTGACTTCGCAAAAGTTATAAAGATATGGAAAAACACCATGAAATTTACTGCGCGCATAAAAACAAATCTACTAAAAAAACATGTGACTAGTAAGTCACAGAAAATCCAAATTTACTTAGTCTTAGTAGAAGTCCAGCATCCATCCATCGCAAAATATCTATTAATATATGGTTACAAACTCAATATCAGTGACCGTTACTCAATTGTATTTGACGCAGATTTAATTCAAGGTTATCAAAAGGTGATGGAAGCACTTTGAATTAATCATATGCATCCCAAACCATGTTTACAGAAAATAAAAGACTTCAGTCTTTGTCTACATTGGACTAATTGACCTTTTAAACTACGATTGGTTAATAATACTCACTTTTATTTATACAACTCATTAGTTATCATGCATTTTGTTGTCAACCGATGCAGTAGTTGTAATATTGTAGGGGAGCTTCGAAATGATATTACATCTCGCAGTATTTATCTTCTTAATGCCTTGTTTAAATTTCTTGATTGATAGAAATTATCTAATTGGAGGATTAATTAAGAATAAAAATAAATAAATTGCTGTTGAATTCGAAGCAGCGAGCGATTATATTAGCATACTCCAGTTTGAATTAGTGCCACTGGCATACGAGTAAAAACCAATCAATATCTAATGCAATGAACCATATATACTCGCATAAAATTATGAGAGGTCAATGCTATATCTTTAACTTTGACACCCATCGCATAGATGTATGACTATTAGACAACATTTAGTGCTACAGCCTGACAAAAACTTTGAATTCGTTCAAACAAATATTTCAAGAAGATTTTTCCAATTAACAGTTTAGTCAATCTGAACGAAGAATATTTTTCCAATAATTTCTCTTCAGGTTCTTACAGTTATGAAATATAATATTTGTTTTTGTTGCAATAATGGCCAGTTGTAAGGTAGATGCATTTTTACGTAGAATAACAGATTAGTTATGCGGTGTCAAAATAAATAGTCGCGTTTGTGTGACAAACGTGCCCTGGGCTGAAATCGATTACAAAACATTGTAAAATGGGAGACAATGGAGGTGATTAGTCATAATAGATTTGTAGAGTGTGGGGTAGGAAAATTAACAAGTCAGTTCAAGGTTATAAAAGGTGTCAGGTGAGTGGCTAGTACAAAGTGGTCTGTATTAAACAGGAGACAGTAAGACTGTGATGAGAAGTTCACAATGAAATAACGAATGTGTGAAATGAAACAGGTGGAGGTATATATTGGGAAAAGAAATAATATCACTAATAAAAAGTCCTGATAGTGTAAATGGAAAATTCGATAGTACTGAATGTTTGCATGAAGGGCATAAATTATGACTCATAATAATAATAATAATAGTATTAAAAAAAGAAAGGAAAAAAACCCAGAGGGTTTAGGGGAAGAAGCACTCTTGGTGATAAGAAGAATCATCAATCCAAGTTTGGCCACGGTAGGAACAGCGTCTGGACGTGCTATTGTTGGATACAAAGTTCGGGTTTAGTCGATCTTATTGCAACCGCTTCAGCTATGTGTTGGAGACTTAAGCGAACTGTACGTGATAACGACTTCGGAATTCAGTATATAACCCTGAAAGCTGTGTTGACATCGATATGATGTCCAGTATCGACCAAGTGTGACAGGATCGAGCGTTTTATGCACTTAATTTCCCCCCTGCTGAACCAAGCTGGTAAATGTTCTCGAACCCGTATACGAACCTGCCTATATAAGTTGAACCACGGGAACAGTTTGACACTCCATAACTAATCTGTTATTCTACATAACTGGCCATTATTATAACGACAATAAATATTATATTTTATAATTGTAAGAACCTGAAGAGAAATTATTGAGAAGAATTTTCTTCGTTCAGATTGACTTTTAATTCGTGATATGGGAATATTTCACATCATTAAATCTTATAACAGTTTAGTGTTGAAATATCCACACACAAAAAATATTACTCATATCGCTACGTAAACTTAGCAGCAAATTATGCTGCTGTAGTCAGAGCCGTTGTAAGCATGACTTATAAACCCACTTCGGAGTAACTATATTTCAAATCGTTGCGCCACTTCTAGGAAATCTGTCTATCTTAACAACTGCACCTGATTAAATTAGTCAATATTTATTTGTTGAACTTCTACAATGTTAAGCTAACTTTAAACGGCCGAAAAGTTTTGTTTCATTGATTAAATTAATTTTGCTTAAATGTTTATTTCACGCCGTAGTCTAAATATTTGTATCTCGTATCCTTTTTGTGTGTATGTGGGTCATCTGTGTTAATATCAAAATTTTGTATATTCTAGAACATGATAGGTTCAAATTTTGATGGTGTGTAGATATCCAGTGCATTAAGTTATCTCTAGGGTACAATGAACTGAGAGACTAGTTTGTTAGTATATTTTTGTGGCTTGTGCTATATCGATTCAGGATTGATAGAAACAGGCCGAAAATTGAAATCAACACTTTAAGACAGTGTCAGTGAGGATAAAAGTGTTTATTCATCAAATCTGGATTTAGTTTACGTTATAGTTTGGGAATAATCTTATTGGACAACTTTTTGTCCCCTCGTTTAACCATGGGTCAATCGCCAACCAATCAGAACAGCTTGTTTCCGCTGACTTAGCTGACTTTTAATGTCGTTAGCATATATAAATACGATGCGTTTTTCCTTAATAAAAAACCGTTACTACTTCTCTTATCTTCTGCCGTTACTTATTTAGTTACAGTAGATAAATTTACATTGCTTTAACTTTACTGTTTGCTGTACATACTTATCAGTTGTATTCGATGTCTTTTTTGACTGTCGGTCTCTATTGTATTGGAGTGTTATGGGATGTATTTTGTTTGGTTGTATTACTGTGGTTCTTAGGATGTTAGGAGACTATGTCTAGTGATTATGTCACATATCGCTTCAGGTTGATAACAGTGGAGCAAACGTTTGCACATTACTGAAACTGTCAACATTTTGAATTAAGTAGATTACCAGAAGTATAAATAGGGTTATTGGTCTATCTATTTTCTAAGTTGAAATGAAAATTGGTTCACACTTTCGCCTTTTTTTATCGAAAATGACGACCAATTGACTTGTCACTTCTGTGAAACCTTTAGAAAAGTTATGCTCCTTTAAATATACCTAGAAGTACTTCGCTCATCATTAATACAACTATTCCTCATTGTAAGTCTAGAATGAAGAACTGTTACTTTTGGCATGTTTCACTATCCTTGAAACAATAACGAAATCACCTTGGAAGGATACATTTTAATTAATGAAATGTTTAAATAGTTATGAATCACTTTAATCAATATTCATGCTTTTGTAAATTAGAGAGATCCAAACACATGTTAACTGTTTAGTTCACTACACCCGTATATTGCCCAAAACAAATAACTTAATTTCATTAGTGAAGTCGAATAGACAATTCCTGTAACATTTAGAAGACTACTTTATGTTCCCCTGTAAATTTTCCTTTCACTTCAAACAATTATTGTTTCATTATGTTGCTCTAAAGGACTTCTCCCTTTATTATTAAGAAATAATAATAATGAGGGTATTTCTTTCTTCTCCATTGTCAAGATCAAGTGAGATTAGAAATTGTGTTTTGTTTACTCAATGTAAGCATAAGTGCGTATTATGCCTACTCCTACAGAAAAAACAACACAAAAACGCAACAAACGTGAAAAGCGTAGGTTGCTTGGTCAGTTTATCAAAAAATCATGGGGTATAAAGGCAAACTTAGGGGCGTGCTTTATTGATTCATTAATTTTCTCATTCGCCATCTTATACAAATAACACAAGTACGCGTGTTTTAACCATCTTTCGTTAAATATATTAATAACAACCTGAGATTGAAAAGAATCAAAACAACATGTTGTTATTATGTTTAATGAAATTTGAGTATCATTCAGAATACTTTTTTGTGTGCTTATTTACCCACCTTATTGATCACAAACTGTTTTGCAATTAGTAGTGTTCTCTGAGCTGGTTGGTTCAGTTGCGGAGCTTTCGTCGTCCTTCTGGACAACATCTTCAGAGCAACTTTTAGCATAAAGTGAACTGATATGAATTTTCCATGAGTGATAGAATTGCATCTCCCGGCAACCATCTTTACATATGTATGGAGCATTTATTGACTTGGATTTTGAACTTTCTCGTCACATGATTTACTTTTTATTAGTTGGCATATTTGGTCTAAATTAACATGTTTGTTAATAGCATATTCGTTTGAGTACCAAGCTTCTAGGAATTCCCTGGCATTTTTGATGTTTCCCCTGTCTAAAATTTTGATATCCCAATCAAACTGTTTTCATGACTTGGGGGTGGGTTTTGATGTGAAGTTCTCTGTTGATATCTCAGTTGGGTTTTTTTATAACGACAAGCATTGTGTACCTTTTAATAGCTGAAAACGCTTGTCATACTGATTATTACGATAAAGATTTCGACAATAAACTGGGATTTAGTTCTGATGTTATGTAATTGTTAGTATCTAGAACCAGAATTCAGTTTGTTTCAATGAGGAACTACAATTATGTACAAATTAGTAGTGAATGATAACGAGCGTACAATATCCCAGAAGATAGCTGTGTGATGTGATGCTTGACACGATGGATGCTTAGTCTCATTCTGGGTGATACCTTACCATCCATCAGTATGTGCCATCATTTCCGATAAAAGAAAAGATGTTCAGCGAATAATTATGCTTTTCAGCGATATCATTCTCAGGCTGTACAACTGTACATACATAGTTTTTTTAGCATCAATAGGAATATTTCCAAAGATGTGTCATTAGATTTGCACATTTGATATAATAATTAAGTAATATAAAAAAGCGTTAATCAGCTAGAAACTAAAATAAAATTAGGTTAGTAATTGAGTGACGTAATATGACTGACGAGATTGAGTAGACTTCAACGACTCAGGTTTACAACAGTGGTAATAAGGGGGTAGAAATTTAATGGGAGGTTAGAAAATAACATGATACATTATAGGTTTCCAGGCCGTAGGTGTTACGAACTTCCTGGAATAATTCGAGCGCCGAGTCAGATTGATTCATTCTAAATTATTTAAATTAATCCCAGCCTGTTAAGAAAATCATAACAAGATTTTTCTGAACGTTTCGCTGTGTAAGCCACAGCTTCTTCAGCAGATTTATTCCCAATCTGTGGCTTACACAGCGAAACGTTCAGAAAAATCTTGTTTTGATTTTCTTAACACGCTGGGATTAATTTAAATAATTTATAATAACATAATGCAATTGAGAAAGACAAAATAACAAAAATTTGGTGTTCGGCGTTAAGACAGATCAAGTCCATTGTAGATTTAATGACTCAATAAACTTCTTCTGTATGCCAGGTTTGGGGTTTAACATGTGAATTGCCATTACTTCTTCGGTTTGAAGAAGTTTGATTCGTACTCATTTAGCAAGATTCCAGCTTAGATAACTTTGAAGTTGGTTTGTCGGTTAGCTTGGTGTCCAGATTTGATCATGTGTTCTAGGTTAGAACTGTGGGGGATCCTTTTTCTCCTTTATAAAACCATGAGGATAAGTATTCGATGATACGTCTGGATAGCAAACGTTGGGTACGGCCGGCATGCCTAGTTCCCCATGCGCAGGTGAATTGATAGGTACACACTGATGAGGCCACCGGTGGTAGCTTATCTTATACGTTCATGCAAATCATTGGTTTTGTGGGGAAAGTTAGTAGAAGTTCAGCAGCGAGGAAGGTTTTCTTCAGTGAACGGGACAGGTGGTTTCTTAGCATTTTTGCCGATGAATCTCCATTGAATTACAGATTCAAGTAGAAAAGTGTTTTATGGGCAGGAGTTGTGGGTGGTTTTAGTGGTTTAACCTATGGATTTTGTGATGAAGCGTTCTGGGCAGCCACTTTTAAAGGAGAATTCCTTTCAGAGTGCTGAACCCCTCTTTCATAGTTTCCAAAGCTGCAAATGCTGTGGGTTCTATTGCCTTATGAACGGCTCAGGTTTCGTTTTCTATATAGAGCAACCCAACCATCATACTGGATGTTCTTATTTGGTATTCTTATAAAAATATTCTCGACTAGATCTCAAAATTAAACATTACTATATACTTTTTCATATCAATATATATAGATGACGGTCTATGTGGATACATTCAGTAAAACAAGTGAACGAATACACTCCGATTTACCTAAGTATTCAACTTTATGGTCATTTTTATCTCCCATCTTGTTGACAAATCTTACGCCTAAGACATCTGGAAGTTTCCATCGTTTTTATTTACCTCATACAAAATATTATCTGAGCACATCAACAATAACCCCGATATTAATTATTAAACGACATAGTTGTACTGCAGATGAAAGTGAGTTCTTTTTGCCAGAGGTTTTGTTTTACTCATCCTTATTGTGTTTTTATGAGTGTAAAGATTTATTTTATTTTGTGTTATGTAATAAATTGTGCTAGTCAGACAAATGAATAGGTCAACTTAGGACTTTGCACAGAAATGCTCCATTCCAAGTTGCCATACTTCAAACTAGCATATGATAAGAAACTGATCTGAAGAGAGCTTAGAAGAATAATATAGTGGATATCACTGTTTAAAATTTCAAAAATTAATAAGCAGTGAATGCATATGTGTGATTGTGAACGATTTGAGATTGTTTCATCTATACTGTAAAGATTGTCTTTTAGCATTTCGAGAATGCCAGTCAACTAATCTCTATCTATCTCTATGAATAACACCAATGAACAGAGACTTCATAGTTTGACACTATGTGTACTGCATTGTTAGAAAATGAGGGTTGGGTAGTTGGTAATTTTTATAGGGTCACAAGTATCAGATATGCCGCTTGGTTATCGCTTCTGGTTGCAACTGGAACTTATGGAAGAATTTTTATCATGGAGAGTTCAATCTTTCAATTGTCTGATGCATGCATGTCTTAGTCTCAAGTTAGATTGTGTGACAAAATTATATTAGTTGAGAAATCATTGAAAAGCAGCAGAAACCAGGAGACTGTTCTGTCTTGATCCCATACTCCTTAACAGTATGCACCTCCAGTGGCATTACAGATTAACCTCTGGACACTCAGATTATGTGAAGAGCACGTAGCTATTCAATGGCTTACCTAGAATTAATTAGTTTTAACGCTTAATGCTCTGTCGTCTTCACTCGTTCGCTAATTGATGACAGCTTATGAGATCTTCTTTGAAATCAGTCAGATTCCCGAAATTCCACTATCTGAGTGTGTCCTTGTGATCTGTAGAATGAAAAGGTCTTGTTAATCTTGTATGCATTATTGAGCAAGCATAGCTTAATAATGTTGCAAACATCTGTAATATCTTATTTTCGGAGATATTGTTTCTCAAGTTGACATAAAACTCACACTTTTATTAGAAATATCTTTTGCACGTTGAAAATAATTTTTCTTTTAACCAATAGGATTTATGGGAATGATTACAATGAACGCGTTATGGTGCAACTACTTTCATTATGTTGCTATAGAGTAAGTTATCGGTCAAAAATTAACATTTAAAAGATTTTTTGCATAAAAGTTAGTTTACAGGCTGCTTAGGTAAAGTTAAGTTTAGTCAGTTGCCAGTTACGGTCATACGTGAATGGCTGGCTGGATTCAACATAGAACTTGGCACCGAAGTGCAGCAGTTCGAGTTGCCACGTTCCAAATAGCACACAAAGGTAGACAAGAAGATGAGTGAAGAGAATCAATAGAGTTTTGACAAGTATAAGAGTGAAACAGAATGAGTAATGGTAGAAAGGAATATGAAAGATTACAGAGACTGAATACATCTGCGTAAGCCATTGACAACGATTTTGAGCCATGTCACCTATTGTCTCCAGCCATTGATTCTTAGAGTCCCGAGGGCCCCAACCTGGAAGTCTGCATCTCCCTACCTGACTCAGTTTAACTGTCAAGGATTTCATGGATTGATGCCATGTTTTTGTTTGGCCACCACTTACTCTTTTCCAACCTGCACCTATATCAGCTAGTAATGCCCGTCGGGAGGGGGAGGCGATGGTTAGGCATGCGCAGCACGTGACCTAGCCATCTCAATCTATGTAACTTTATAGCCTCTTCGATTGATTTTCCCTCTTTGCCCAACACTCTACGCCTAACGTCAACATTACTTACCTTATTATACCACCTAACGTGAGAAAGAGATCGTAGACATCTATGATCAAAGACAGTCAACCTTTTCATGTCTTCAACTCGTATTGGCCATGTTTCAGAGCCATAGAGAAGGACGGAGCGAACTGATGAGCAGTACACACGTCCCTTGGTTGATAGCCGGATGTCACGCCTACGCCAGAGATGGTGTAAGTTAGCGAAAGCAGCCCGAGCTTTTTGGATCCGTGCTGAGATTTCGTCACCAATCAATCCGTTGGTGCTGATACAACTTCCCAAATAGGTGAAGTGGTCAACATGTTCTATCACTTCACTCCCTATCACTAAGCTAGGGGTAGACGTAGTCCAGTCCTGTAGCAGCATCTTACATTTTACAGGGGCGAATCGCATGCCAAACATACGAAGATTGCTGCTCAAGGTGTTCAGAAGACTCTGCATTTTGTCAGCATCCTCCCCTAACAGGACTATGTCATCTGCATATTCTAAGTCCATAAGACTATTCCCTGGTAACAAGTCGATTCCTAAGTCGTTAAGTTCAGTTAAGGATACTTCCATTAGCATATCTATGATGAAGTTAAACAGAAAAGGGGAAAGTGGACATCCTTGACGGACACCACTGGTTGTTATCAATTCAGATGACAATTCCCCATAAGCCCTTACACGGCTACATGAGTTTGAGTAGAGTGCCTTGATTAGTGCAATGTACTTTCTTGGCACTCCCTTCACAGTCAAACATTGCCATAGTACCTTTCGATCCACGGAATCGAAGGCCGCCTTCAAGTCAAGAAATATGGCAATTGTTGGACGCCGAAAAGTGTGTCTATGTTCTAGGATCTGTCGGAGAGTGAAGATATGATCTATGCACCCTCTACCTGGCCTAAAGCCTGCTTGATTTTCCCTCGTTTGTTCCTCCCGAGTTCGGCTTAGTCTGTTCATGATTACTGAGCCTAGGATTTTAGAGACTATGTTCGTCAGGCTGATCCCTCTATGATTATCACATGAGGACTTGTCTCCCTTCTTGAATATTGGTATAATAAGTGACTTACCCCAATCTGATGGAACCGTCTCTGATTCCCAGACGTTACCTAGTACCTTAGTCAAACTATATTCTAGTATGTCACCCCCATATTTAAACACCTCCGGAATAATTCCGTCGGGTCCTGCCGCTTTGCCTCGTTTCAAATTACAGATAGCCTTTGTGACCTCACTTACAGACGGCGGGCCAGTGTCTATATCCCATTCGGGTGTGTGCTGGATGGCGGGGAGGCTCATTGTGGCTGTAGGCAAGTTAAATTGTTCCTCAAAGTGTTCTTATACGTGAATTCTCTTCCATGAAACCCATTGAAAACAAGACTGTTGATTGCTTTAGGATAAACTTGCGAAATGATTGATGATGACTGTCTGATGAATTGATGGGTAGTTTTACGCAAGTGTGTGTCAGTCCAAGTTGCTCCTTACCTACTTTAATAAAGCATGTGTACAAATGGAGAAAAGAAGTGTAATGTAATCACATTCAGTGAAACTCATGGGAAAGAGAATAATTGAATCAGTTAGTGGTGTTATTCATAAATCTGGAGAAGAAAAGAGGTGGATAAATTTGCTTTAAAGTTAATGATTTTCAGTCATGTCATTTTCCAACCGTTAATTGTCAACATCCCAATGACCACAACCAGACAAACACCAGCTCCCTACTTGTCTCAAATCAACAGACAAAGACTTCGCGGACTACAACCACTCATCTATTTCATTTCCTATTCCTTGAATAGGAGTTTCTACTAGCAAGTCCTGCAACGTCATCTTGCATATGACAAAGGGGAATTTCACTCCAAATTCTCCCTCAAGGTTTTCAGATGATACTGGATTTATCAGCGTCTTCACATGGAAAAATTATATTATCCTCACAATTCATGCTAACAATTCACCCCTGTAACAAACCGATATCAGTGCGGTTTAATTTCGTCAGGGTCAGTACATGTGAAGTGAATATGAATAAAAATTCTGACATTAGGCGTCCTGAGTCATGCAGACCTAACATGCTTACTCAAGTCCTCTTATGCATTGAATAATGGCCAACTACCGTCTTTCGTGAAAAATTATATATAATTGCAAAAATGAATTCATTGAAACGAGTCTCTTTGCCGAACTAGTTGTTTTGTTCTTTTCAACTGGTTATCAGAAGATTTTCGCCTTTTCTAGTAAATTGGGATGCATATCAGTCTGCTGCAATTATCTCGGAATCCCAAATACTACCTCGGTCACTCTAGTAAGTGACTTAACATCGTCATCACCATAAAATCAGTCATCACCACGCTGGAGTCTTGCGTATGTATTTCAGAGACAACAAATCCAAAGCCTAGTGAGGTCTGTTGTCCGGTTTTGTATAAAGTTGAGATGTTATACGCTCAAATATAACGCTGTCAGAGTGGTTTTAGGACTTTAGGAACGATATTTTTTAGTTTAGGTTACTAGCAATGATCATGCACTTGGGAGAAGTTGAGGAATCTACTTGTGGAATAGTACTAACAGAAAGTAAAACAAATGGTGGATGATAAGCATAAAAACTTCATGTAGGAATTAATGTTTCTAGGAGGTCGCTTCTCACGGACTGCCTACACTGTGAGAGTTTACGACTGCTTGAAGTACCTGGAAGAAAACAGCATTAGCATTATGATTAGTGCAAACGTTTGTGTCGTTCATTTACAGGAAACTCGATTCGACACTGAAATATTGTTGATTACCTCTTACGCTTCTGTTAAGATAACCACCTATTCTTGCTTAGGATTAACTTGATGTTTGTGAAGCTTGTGGTCGCTTTGTAATAGGCTATTAATCTGGAGGACCTGTGTGAGATATCTACGCCTTCTAAAAGTGTGTGCATAGAATGCAATCGTATGTCAGTCTGCGCACTTGTGTACTTGAGACTGAATGATCATAGTAAAGAAGCAGCTGTCAAGCGTTTATATTTCCAACGTTTCCATGAGAATGACAGGTCCTTCGAAAGAAACTAACCAACAAATTATGACTATGACAGCAATTATCATCCGGAGAATGTTCGGCATCTTACGAAGTTGACGACCAAAAGCCATTGAATCGATTTCTGCTCATGCAAATTGATCAGAGTAAGTAGACTTATCTTGATGTCATCTGAAACTGATGAACAGTGAAAGCTGCTTAAATACCTGCTAACAAAAAACTATTGTCTTTGGCATGTTATCTGACTACACATGATGTGGTGCGTATAGTCTACTACTTTGTGGTTATTAGACATGACCAATGAAAATAACTGTGAACGGATTAGGGTTTTTCACTGCATACTCCTTATTTGTATTAGATGAAGCAAGGTGACAAGTAATAATGAATATATGTTTATTGTGTTAGGTAAAGAGGAAGTTATAAAGTCCCGTCGACAAGCGTAAAATATGTTTTATACACCGCGTTCTTCAATGAGCATTTTTAGGTTGGAGAAGGGTGGTCAGAGGAAAACAAGTTTTTGTCTATTGACTTGTACCACATATGGAAGTGTAGATTTCCCTGCTGATACTGAGAATCAGTTGTCGTCAACTTTTGGTGAGATTGGGCTTCAGTTTTTGAGATTTATTCATATAACAGAAACATTAAGATGTAAACTATTTGTTATTATTAATTATAAATATGACGTAAAACCTATTAAAAGATTCACGGCGCCTAGCAGTCCCGTTGATAAATTTACGGTTGGTACAGGCGACGTAGTTGCTCACTATCCAATTGATATAAGACCGCTACTACCTTGTATATTTCATTCATTATCATTTATTATTTCCCTATTACTCTATATTTGTGGCTTACTATTATGTTGTAGTTGTCCTATCAGTGATTCGTTCACTTCTTGTGCTGTGTTTCCTACCAAACTGAGTTTTAATCCCAATTCCCTACAGTTATAACTTCGAATTCTTTTTTCTTTTTATTGGTTGGTCTCTCAATGTGAATTTTCATCTCAAAAATGAATTATTCTTGTTGTTTTGTGAAGATTGATTAGATCATGAACTTTATCACTTAGTTTATCTTTTTATATTTACTCAATTGTATAGTCGCCAGATGAGTTACCTGATATTGATTTCACCTTACTCTAACACATTGTTCTGATATTTGATATTATCAACTGGAACAAGTTGAATACAAATGTATTGTCTAGTGTTTTTATTTACCTATGGACTTTTAAGAGCTGTTTTTTTAATTTATCTACAGGGATACGAAAACAGAGATTTCTCTCCAACTGCCAGTATCACATTTATCAGTGGTAAACTACACAAAAGAATCACCTTCGTTTATTGATCTCTATTTGGATCCGAATTGTGCCTACGAACTCTCTATTCATTATTCTCTGATCAACTGGTATTCACAGGTAGGTTTATATGCAATTCAATGTGTATGTGTGTGTGTGTGGTTGTACTAAACAGACTCTAATTGTGTGATAATTGAAGCTAAACTGATTCGAATCAGCATTTTTGGGTTATCAACAGTGTTTGCTACTGTGTTTGGGCTGCACTACACAGCTACTAACCAAATTTTATTTCTCTTCAGTCATCTAAAGATTCTCTCAACTTTCATGTGTATTTATAGTAAGTAATCATTTGTTCCACACAAGTTTGTCAATTTAAGATTGATTGACTTAGTGATAACGTGATTTCTATTAAGCGTGACAGCCTTTTTTCACAGTCTGTTATGGTATTGTAGATAACTACTGCTCAAGATACACAAATTTAATTAGATGTTTGTTACGCTTTGATTTCAAAATGTTTTTCTTGTTTATTATCAATTCTGTGGTGTTGACATATATGCACATTTGTTAATGGCTTTTGAACGCTTCTGTGATGAGTCGTAATTGGATATGTATGTAAGTGAAGTCTGATAAAAGGAAAATGTTTATTTCTTCAAATACCTTGTCTTTTCACTAATATGCTTGTAGTTCTCTGCAAGTTACTATCCTAATAATCTTTCAGCTTGTGGTGATAACTAAAGGTCTAGAAAATGTTAAGCTGCATGTATTAATCTTTTTATTTATTGTTCATATAGTGAAGGGGAATCGAAAATTAACCGTCCTATTGCTTTACATCGGTTGATATGCTAGAAATTATTATAGTTATTCGTTCATTGCTTTCCAAGTGGAAATTAGGACTTTGGCGGCACATCTGCATTGCTTTCCGTTCTCTGCTACCATTTTCAGCTGGCTTCAATACTGCTGACAAAATTTCATTTCCCCTTCACATTCTCTTTTCCATGTCACCTCTGATATTATTATTACATTATTGTTTGCTTTAATTCCTAGAGGAACATAGGGGTTCAGCCGTGCGTCTCCACTGCGTTCGGTTCTCTGCTAGAATCTTCACCTGGCTCCAAGTCTGCCCACACGTTTTCATCTCCTCTTCACATGACCTCCTCTGAGCATTCAACTTGTCGCTTAACATTCGGTTTCACCTCGATGATATGACGTGTGGCGTCTTTAGAATGTGTCCCCTCAGTGTATGTCAAGTCCATCTCTTCTTCTTCTTCTAGGTATTTATGGGGTTTTAGGTTTATCGCTGGTCCACTGCTCAACAGAGTTCCCTGTTGTTTATTCTTTCTGATCGGGCATCCGAACTTTAGTGTCGAGCAAAGGCAGATATTAATGGAAGCATGGAGCGTGCTGCAAGTGCTTTTTGGCGACGTGCTCACCTATTTTCTGATCCATTTAGAAGCACACGAGTTGACAATAATGTTAAAATATCTGGGCGAATCTGAAAGCAAAACTTATCAAACTTTTTATCGTTGTAAAAATGTTTGTGGCCATCCTATTGATCGATATTAGTGAATAGCTCACAGAAACCACTGATTTCTCTGATGAGAAAAGAGAAAAATATCATAATATCCCTCCTTCCCACCAACTTTTCCAAACTACTTAAACTCCACTACAACCTGAGGTGTATTGTTCGCACCCTGTTAGGACGGACAAGCTTTGTTGTTAGACGTGGAGCCATGATTTATTCATGTACCGACATTATAGACTTATTAGACAGTTTTGATTAGTTCTTTTTATGGCCTCATTTTGTGAGGATTCGGAAATATAATATATTATGTACTTTATCTAATAAATGTTGTTGTCGTTCCGATCGCCGTTTTTTCACAGATCAACTTTTAGGCGTATCACAGTATGGAAGATAAATAAATTCAAATGATCAGTTGGTCATAATCTTGTGTTTCGCCAGGTGCATTCTAGTCAAATTTGATAACCAGACAACCTAGTAACACTCTGTCCATAATACATACACCAATAAAAACAATCACGTTTGATGTTCTCTTTCGAAGAATCACATTTAATAAAACTACTAAAGGAGTTTACATTGTTTATTTATCGATTTATTTGTATATATATATATATGTATATATACATACGAGTGTGATGACGTGTAATTTTTAATTCTTTGGCGGTTACACAATAAGCACAATAGTTATTTCTCTGTGTCACTTCTATTATTAAATAAATGGATCAGGCCGTTTTTTATGAGTACTCATCATCAGCTTGAAGGGTTGATTAACATATTTCCTATGCTTATAAAAATTACTTCGATTAATTTCTTTAGGTATTGGTCCAAGATTTACAAAGATGTTGGACTTTTTTCTTTTACCTCTTTTCATGTACTCATAAGTAGTATCTGAAAAGTGTAAAGAAAACAGAGGCATATCAAGTAAAGATTTTGAGCATATTTAAAATAGATTTTCTATCTAAATAAAAATGAAAATTATTGTTTGCAAACTTGTTGCTGGCATCAGTATTCTGTTTAACAATAAGTTGAACAGGTTGATCACTTTATTTGTTTAGGAAGAGGTATTAGTTCTGGTGGGCTGATTGGTAGTCATCAAGATCTTTTGACAGTAATCTGTTCTATCCTGCGTTATTCCTTGTAGAGGTAAATGATTTCAGACAGACTTCAGGCATTTAACCTCGTGATCCTCAAAATATTCAGGTTAGGTGTAGATAAACATCGTAGCCAGGTTACATGATGAATAAGTCATTTGAATTATTTGAAACATGTATTACACAATTTAAGTCGTTATCTTTCATAGTATCTAGTGTTAGCTAATGTTTAAATAATTCAGGAAGTGCCAGGCGTGATTAAAACATCATACGTAATCAATTTGTAGCGTTTATGGCTTCCGATCCATGGATTCTATGGTTGTCATCTGTGAGACGGTCGAAACAGATGACGAATAACTCCAAGCGTAATGACTTACGACCGAATCCAGTAGGAAAATCGCATCCACATTTGATCATTTATCTGGTAACTGACAAAATTTATACACCGTTACAAAAAACCTCATTTAACTTCTGCCAAACCAAATATCTGATTATTGATTTAAGTATAAAACTTGGGCACTGTGGTAGAGTATAACTCCATAATGGATAAGATTTCATTTTGATAAATCACACAGTGTTGTACAATAATATTTACTGATGACGTTTCGAGCACAAACTATTGCTCATAATCATATCAAGTTACTCATACAACTTTTTTGCTTCATTTATGTCAAATCGATTAGACATCTGAATAAAATCAATGTAAGATAAGGTACATTGAGAATTAATATTAGTTTTCTATAGTTTGGTTTGTAAGGATTAGTTATGTTTTACGAGTTGATCACGGACTGATATCAGTTAGAGAACCATTGAAAACAGCAGCTGTCCAGTACTCCCTGATTTTCAATGGTTCTCTAACTGATATCAGTCCGTGATCAACTCGTAAAAAAATTAATATTAGTGTTATCCATCAAATAAAATCAGATGGGAAATAAGACGAGTGTTTTTACAGTAAAAATAAGTAGCTTGTTAGATTATTTTAATGTGAATTGAATACATCTTAATGTTATTTATTATTCTCCGATTTGACTGGTAATAATATCTTCCATATCTCTGGTATTTACATTGAGTCATTTCTGCTGCATGTGTTGAGCGTAGACTCAATGAACAAGGATTCAGTAATCAATCTCTCTTTCCACCTACCTATATTACTTTTTAGAATTTTAACCCTATCCCACCCTATTGTGTGGTTGTTTGTTAATGCGTGAAGTGCAATAGCTGAGCTTTTTTCTAAATTACTTATCTTTTCAGGGTCAATCAGTTTTCCCTTATCTAAATTCTTATGTTCTGATACTCTGACTGTCCCCGATCTACTAGTTTGACCTATGTAGTTGACTTCACAGTCATTGCAGGGTATTTTGTAAATTATATTATTTTGTTTAATTGGGTCCAACGGGTCCTTCAACCTACAAAGTTTGTCTCTGAGTGAGTTTGTGGGTTTGAATGCCACCCTAATTCCTGCTTTATTGAGAATCCTACTTAGGGCCTCAGATGTCCCCTCCTTATATATGTCCTCCTCCCCCTCAAATCAAACACATCAAAACATTCTAACAATCAACTTATTATGACTATAAAAACACTCGTCGTATTTCCCATCTAATTGTAATGGATTAATAACACTCGTACTATTATTTCTGAATGTACATTATCTCATATTGAATTTTATTCCAATATCTAATCGATTCCACATATGTATATAAATGAAGGACGAAGTTGTGTGAGTAACTTGATATGATTATAAGCAATAGTTTGTGCTCGAAACGTCATCAGTTAATATAACTGTGCAACACTGTGTGATTTATCAAAATAAAATCTTATCCATTATAAATATCTTATTATATTCTTAGAGTCGAGGGCATTGAACTAGAGTCGGTTAGATTGCAAACTATCACTGCCTGACATGGTCCCGGTATGTTTTCATGCATACCTATTCACCAACTATTCTAAAGTGCAGTGTTAGCCTAAGTGGATTGCGATAGGGTTGAAAAAAGCTGAAGTTGGTCAGACGCGCATCAGCCACTCTCCTCGCCATGTTGGTATGCGAAGATTCTCAATCCTCGAATTGCATTGCAGTCAAAAAATTGATGATGATTACATTCACCAAGTGATATGGCCTAGAAGTTATTACAATGTCACAGGGGAATTCTTTCAATTGGCATTCAAGTCAGCATTTACATTTGTGAAGTGTGGTAACTTGAATAAATGTACACTGATGTCAGTCTCAATTTTGAAAGTGTCTTTGGCATTTAATAATGTTGACAATTTGGCGGAACTATATTTAACCCTCATTTAAGGTTGCTGCTTTTCTTTACTAGTGAACTAAGGTACACCTCACTATGACGGAAAGTATTTCAATGCTAGTGGTTGTAAAAAGTAGTTTTATATTTGATCCGTTTTTAGTGTTGTCTGTTATTCTCCATCAGGATGTTTTAAAATTAATCCAACTCTTTTTGGCTTGCAGAATTACGTAATTTGTTCTTCTTCTTATTGTTATTATTTTTATTTCTTTTGTGTTCCGAGTGGAACACTGGGCTTCAAGATTGAGCTTTGAATTTTTTGTAACAGTGGTGTTTGTTTTTACGGGATAGGGTTGCTAGCCTCACGCTCAACCTTCCTTCTTTATTGACCTTACTGCCAACTCAGTGAGGCTTAGGAGTGCATCGGCCGAGGACCAATCGTCGAACCACGTGTGTGGTAGGTGATCGTTCTACCGCTGAACCACCGACGCGCCATGTAATTTGTTTAGTTTGTATAAATCCAGTTGGAGTTTCAAGGTGAATTTCATGTTGGGCTGATACCTTCTAGACCGACACTGAGTTGGATGGTAACACACCTGTCTAGAAATATGACCAAGCTTTGCGCCATTTCTTCATTAGTTAGTTGATTTTCATTACTCAGGATCTTCAAACTAGACTGGATTAGACTTTTGACATTTCTCTTATTTTGTTTCCAGCACATATCTAGTTGTTAGTCAGCTCTTAATTAGATCTGCCTTCAAAATGTCAATTTTCATTAATTCTCCACAATTTCTTTGTTTATTTGATAAATCACTTGAATATTGATGTTTTTTTCTTCACTTGAGTTTTATCCCCCTAATTCTTTGTAAACAATTGTCGTAGTCATAGTACCTAAAGTCCAACTTATATAGTACATCAAATAGGTAAGCTTATGATACGTACACATAATAAGTGTCAATCTTTATTTAAATATATATAAGTTATACACTTTAAAAATGATCAATTCACGAGTAATCGATATTGTAAATCAATGGCGTTTATAATAATGTGGTATTACTAAGCACTGATGTATTGTACAATAAAGTCCAATGCATGACTAATAAGGACTAAATGCATATGATACTAAGGCATTATTTTTCCATTGGACTATGGGCTGTAGCTGTGTGACACGTAGTGATATTACCAGACTGCCTTCTTCGATGAAGCAGGGTGGGGTGGGCGGGTGGTATCCGTGACCCATCTATTGGAAGTTGTGTGCCTAAAGCAACCACTTAACTGAAATCTGTAGGTGTGGAGTTGCGTAAAATGTCCAGTATTTTATGTTTCATTTGAACTTAGGCTGGGATTAAATTATATTAGGAAAGAATTATGCCTTAATCTCATAATGTCACCGACTGCCAAATTGAGTTTTAAGCAGGAGCTGCATCAATGGATACTTGAAATCAGTTGATAAAGATCGCAAAGATGTGAAGGGCTAGACATTTTTCGATGTCTCCTTTCCTCTTGTGTTCGTATGTGTGAAGTGTTTCTATGTTATTATACTTTTATTCGTATTGTTAATTGCTTCTTCCAAGTACCTTAATACTAAATTTAAGTGTGACATAAAAGCGCCTTAAGAGAAGTTTTATATTGTCAGTGGAGATGAATTTGATCCAGTTTATAGAGTAATAGTAGACTTTAAACTGTATAAGCAACTAAATGCTGCATTGCTTAAGATAGTGCTTAACTGTCCAAGCTACTTGAATTCTGACTGGTTATTTAGGCGAACTGGTGACATCTGATTTCATCTAACAGATTGGTTGAAAATATTTGAATTAAGCGTTTGCAGAACCCAACTAGAGGTACTTTGAAAACCCTTTCTCTCAGAGATGAATTGGCTTAGCTACATAACTGATGAGTCAAGCCACAAGTGAGCAGAATACACACCCATTGTCAGGACAACTTCCATTTGACTACAGAGTTATATATATATATATATATATATATATATATATATATAAATTTCCGTCATAAATGACTACTGCACAAATAGTAGACTAGTTTTTTCGATATAATTTTATAACCAGGTCAATCAACTTACCAGTTTTGTCTACTTCACTAATTGTTATTGTTCCCTCAGTAGTTTGCATATCGTCTGTTTGTTGATTGCACGGAGAATATGATGAATAGCTATTTGATGAATCGAGTTGTTCGGTTAATGGACATTCATCAATTGTAACACAATGAAGCAAGAAATTTGATACAGAGTTGAATGCTGTATTCTGCGTTATTTGAGTGTTTTTCAACTGATTGAATTCCATTTCTATTTTGGGGGAGAAGTATATGTATGAGATGAAACTTTTTATTGAAAAAGTTAATTTTGTTAGATGTATGCGCATTTTTAGACAAGTATGTAAGAGTATTTCCCTCACACATCTAATGTCTATGAGTAATGTGATGGAAAATACATGCTTATTCTTTTGAGGACACAGAAAACTCGGAGATTGTTGCTTATTTTACACTAAAAATAAATCCTCTGATGTTTACTCACGGGGTAACTTTTGGGATTAAAAAGGTCACCAATTGATCGGTAAACATATAGATACTTTTACTTAAAAAACTAGTAATGGAATTGTTCAGACTGCTTAGCTTAACTTAGTACAATTGTATACTCTGTCACACTAAGGTTCCAATGTTAACCTTCTGGTAGGGCGCTAAGTTGAAAGAAAATGATATGTGATCATATGGTGAAGTTAAAAAGACTTCAAATTGTTCGGATATCAGTATGAGTCGTGTTGGAAGATAGCGATAGTTTTCAAAATCATGTACGTTGTACTGAAAACCTTGTAATCCGATATACCCATCTCTGCAAGTAGTCAAGTTCTATCGCTTTAAATATTAAAGCATCGTCAGCTAGGTTACTATCAGTTTACAGGTGTCATTTATTTAATAATGACACAACCATGGGGTAGCTTTGGATTAGCAAACTACTATATACGTGTAATGAGTGGTGATTGAAGGTACAATAAAGACTGAGGTTTCAGCAAGTTTGGAATCAGTCGCCACCGGATAGTAACAATGAATCATTTGTGGAGCTTTTTAGATTGTGATCTATCTCATTATTATTTTGTTTACATTTTCTCTGAAATTAGCGGGGAAGTAGATCATGCTTAGGAGTCTCAGACAGTAGATAAGTGTTACATTTCAGCTTCACTTGGAACACAGATATATTGGGCTGTGACGCTTCCACAATAGGGTGAAGCCTACGCCGTCGATACGTACCACTACTGACTACTATCATGTATATATTTATGGAGTGTGACAAGACCAAACAGCAATAGTCACCAGTGTATTTCTTCCAGTAAAATGAAAAGCAGGAAATCAGTTAATAGCTTTCAATAGATTATTGTATCGGTGGTATTTTATCAGCGTTCGGATTGTTTCTCTCAAAGCATGATATTTGCATAACGTTAATGGTTTGCGTAATTTACTTAAAAAAAGAGAAAAAAAATAGCCATTGTGAAACTCCTCACTTTTATTGATACTTCTCTGTTTATACTAAAAGTTTGTCTTTAAGTATTGCATCACTTAAATGTAACCGATTTTTATCATTTTAAAGACGCCTACACACCAGGTTTGCACTTTTAAGAGTTGTTTTCTCATATCAAATTATAAAGGTGCACTTGTTTTGTCATAAGTTTTTTTACATTTGATTCGTCGGTATATATAATCCGATTATGTAGAAGTGTGATCAGTTGTGCTACTCTGATATTCGCCTCTTAGTATCCAGAACGCCTTAGTCATGAGTTGTTGTTTTTAATGGTTAAAGTGTCTATTTCTTACTTCACTAGTCTACGTTTATTTAGTACACGAATAACATTGGAGGCCACCAGTTCAGACACCATCACAATAGAATTCCTGATTTCAAATCCATTTGTTGCCTTCAATTATACTGAAATCAGTTTTTCAAACTAAAACTGATAATTTCAGCATAAAACATAGTAGACTGGCTTTATTGTGCGGTTTGATTACTTTAAACGACTTTAAACAGTTCACATTATGTTCCGTATTCACTAGATGATATAGGATCTCATTAGTTAGCCAATTAATTATCCTTTCAAGAGTTGATTTGTTTTTCGAGTTTGACTACGGATTAATATCATTTAGAGAACCATTGAAAACCAGGGAGTACTGGACAGGTTTTTTGGGAATCACCGGCAGTACTCACCCACTGGGACCCGATTCAATGGCTAGTTCATGAATTCTAACTTCTACAAGTTCATTATTTTAGCGCGACCACCGATCAGTGTCATCGGGGGGGGTACTCCATCCTCACTCCCGACTGGATCGACCTCACTAGCCACGACTTCTCACTAGAACTAATAATTAATTCAATATTAATTTGTGTGCTGTAATCATATAATGTATTCTCACACATTCTCTGAATGGAAACTATGCATTTAGCTCTACTTAATGGCAATATTTAAGCGATCTCCATACTAAAGTGACAATTTAGTCCAATACTTTTTAATACTTCTGAGTCACCATTATTCAACTTGCGGTAAATGTTAGATATTATACGTGTTAATGATGCAGTATCATCTGTCGCCTCAGTATTACCGGGAGGTGAAATGAAAAATATTTATGTGTAATTCTGCCTAACACATTTATAGCTTAACCAAGAAATTGTGATTATGACCACTTTATTACAATATAAAATATTCTAGGTGTGGATTTGTCTTTTAGACAAAATGCCTATATTATTCCTTTAAAAGCTGAATCTCTACAGACATCCGTTTTGTAGATCGGGTTACATGAAAGAAATCCTGTCGTGTCTTACCTTTTTTAGTTTTTCTTCGTTTCAATGTTTCTTTCAGTGCATTACTGATAACTTTTTTTTGGTCTATTGGTTTCTCTCTATGTGTCCATATTTGTGTAAAGTGTTTATCTTCCCCGTGGTCATGACAACGATATTCATCTTGAATTTGATTAGCTAGTGTGAAGAAGAAATTCGTTGAATTGTTGATTGGGTGAATTAACTCAATTTGATGATTCGTTTTAAGGAAATAATATTTTGCCGGATGATAATCGTTACAATGATCATCGTTATTGTCAGCATTATTATTAGAAATAGTAGTAGTAGTAGTAGTAGCGTTATTGATATCTCCTATCTCTGATTGTATTGCATCTTGCACTGTTAAATCTTCGTTATTCTCATCATCATAACTACTTATTCGTTTATTTGTATTGACATAAATAGTATCCTCATCGTTAAGAATAGGAGTACTTGTAGTATCCTTTATCCATTGATGACATTTTTGAAGATATTTCCTACGATATAGACTGACAGGCATGGCGAGTATACGAGTTTGTTCATTTTTATTAAAGGTTATGTTATATGCTATTGGTTGGTTTTTATTTGTCTTTGATTCATGAAAGTGATGAATGGGTTCTGTAAATCGACGCATCAATTTTAATTCCAACATGTTGAAGTGTATTGCTTTTTATGCTGTTTTTTTCTTTTTCGCCGTTTTGTTGTTCTCTTTGTTACTTTTACCTAATGAAAGCAATCATTATTTAGTTGTTGTAAAATTTACAATAGTTATTGAATATTTCAAATTTGATCATAGATTGATTTCAGCTAGAGAACCATTGAAACCCAGGGAGTACTGAACAGGTATGCCATCCTGGTTTGGAGCTCTTCATCAGTACGCGCATCTGCCGGGGTTTGAACCCAGGACCTTTTTAATATTGGTCATTGAAAAGATGTTTACTTAGATTAGATATTGTTACTATACTGAATGGAAGCTTTACTAGATCCGTTTCTTCAATTATATTTCCCTCATTTCTTGATTTCCGAGTGAAAAAAGGGGTTTCAAACTTCGGATTTCAGCAGTTGTGTCGTTGCTTTTTTCGAGGTGGGGTTGCCAGCTTCATGCCCAACTTTATGTCTTCTGCTGGCCTACTAACACTTAGAAAGTTAGACGAGGTTTAGGAGCGCTTCAGTCAAGAATTGGACCAGGTCGCACACGTAGCTGGTGAGCATTCAACCAGCGAGGCTTAATACTAGATCCTAGATACAGTTTTATTTTACTAAAGAATTGCTTTAAAACTGTTTCTGCTAAACACATCCTGAATTAAACAGGTTTTTTGTTTATTTATAATCACTGGCGCTGTATAGTTTTACTTCTTTGCGAAGAGAGTGGAAATCGGGTGACAGTGGTGAAAATCTTGCAACTTTTGAATGATATCGTAGTCACTGTTTTCAGCCTAAGTTTTCGTCGTACATCATTATGTTGCTGGGACGGGATTCTAGTTATAAACTTCTGTATTCAACACTTCCACCTACATTCAAGTGTTGGTTTGTAGGGATTGGGATTTGATTGGTTACAGGATTTCATCATGATCTAATCTCTGTTAGAGAACTATTAGAAAATCTGGGAGTACTGGACAGCCATCTCGTCCTTGTTTCCGCCTCGGAAGATCCTGGGTTTGAATCCTGTTAAGTGCATATTGATGGGGAGTTCCAAACCAGGGCAAAACAACTGTCCAGTACTCTCAGGTCTCCCAGTGGTTCTCTAATCGGATGTCAGCTCATGATGGAAAGTTTTTTGTCTATATTATATAGGGTTAACAGCTACAGATCAGTAGTGTGCGTATGCTTCTGCATGTAGTACTGCAAAACATGTAGCTTTTTGCATCAAATTTACCCATTCAATTTTAAATAAAATAATTTATACTGTCATGTTTAAACTGATAGTGTTTCAGCAAAACTGAGTCCCTTATCAGTCACACCAAAATGTAAACACGTGAGTGCATTTACTACTGATCACTGTCAAGTATAAATTAAGATCTCCAGTTTTAATAGAATGAAAACAAAAATAAGACTTTTAAGATTGACATATTTATAAATATCTAGTGTTTTTATATTTGTCATTACTTTTAAGTCGCCATTAAGTGAAGACGATTATATTGGCTTTTTATTTTCACTTTGCTGTAGTGATAGTTAAACAGTGTAAATAGTTTAAATGAACACTTACCTAAATGTCTTCAATGATTTCTTTGCGAATTTTCTGCCTAATAAGATTATTTTTCTAGTAAAAGCTCTAGTTTTCATTGTTTGGCTATCTGATTGGTTTTCTGCGAATGACCTTGGAGATAAATAATACTCTCTCTTCCTATTGGTCAAAATTTGTCATCTTAACACATCTATTACTGCCTACTACTACCATCTCTAATTGTAGTAGTGTATCTAACGGTACTTTCGAAATAATAAAAGTATTTCTACTTTCTTTTTCGCATTCGTTAATCGATAGTTTTTAAATGAAGTGTATCTTAGTAAATTGTTTTCAGCAGTTTTTCTTTCCTGTTTCCTTGAGGTGTGTTCCAAGTTGAAAATGTTCACCTCATTCATGTTTTTGTGTAGGAGAAATTTCTGTTATTATTCGGTCAATGAAAGTAGTATTTTGGATGAATTTTGTTTTGTTGATTCAATGCTTGTTCCCTCTGAATTCAGCTTATTCCAGAAAATATTATCGTCAATAGCCAGATTGCATTGTGTACTTGCATGTAAAATTTGGCTAAACTATTTTGTGAAGAATGCGAGTTAATTCAGTTCTCTTGCTTTCATCACATCTCTCACACAATATAATAACGACACTGATATATTAGATTACCGAAAAATTATGTCTATTGATTGCTTCTCCTTAATCTTTTCTAGGCTACTTAAGGAAAAACCTTGTTACATTACGTGGGTGATTAAAAGCTGTCTGTAGATCGAATGGGGTGTCGCTGAACCAATTCGTTAAGGCTAGACACTTAAACTCATGCAAGAAATTGGCGAATGTCATCTTGTCGGACTTTGAGTACCCTTTTTATACACAACTCTCCGCTTGTATATCTTCAGGTAGGACTATAAGGAGGTATGCTCGAACGACTTAATATAAAAACTCAACGATACCTTACTTGGCAAGCATTTTATGCTATAAGGAAAGTGCTAGACAGGAAACCCCAAACTTACTGTGAAAAATCAAATAAATGGCACTTTATTTGTTTCTTCTGTCATTAATATATTGTCGTCACTATTTCTGTTTAATTTTAACTATTCATTTATACTTTAATTGATATCATTATTAACGCAATATTGTACTACATGCTGAAAATTCCACACTATATCAAAAATGTACTGTTTGGAACAAAACATTATTATTAAGGGCTAATGTGTCTAAACAATTCAAAGCAAATGTATATACTAATTTGCAAACTACACTTCACTGTGCTGAAGCTAATTATGTTAACCGGTCACCTATATTAAAGTAGATGTCATTAATTTTAAATCCAGAGCATGGTATTCGGAATTCTAGTGCCTACCTCAGTCAATAGTTTGGACTCATTTACTCTCGAAATTACAGCCTGAAATAAATATATGAAGATTGTTACGCCTTAGTCTTCCTTCATTTGATTAGCAGTACCATTTTAATGACATACGTGACCTTTGAAAAAGTGGTAAAGTTGGAATAAGGCATAAAAGTGTAAAACATTTCCATATCATGGATTAGAAGTCAATCTGAACGGAGAATACTATTTCCAATAAATTCTCTTCAGGTTCTTATGGTTATAAAATAAAATATTTATCATTGCAATAATAGCCAGGGATGCTGTGGATAACACATGCGAGTAACTAATAGCGTTTCGTGAATCCTCTTAAATTCAGGACTTCACATAATTTAAATATCGATCTCCAACTAATTGATGACCACTGAACGGATCTTCTGAGGCTATAATGAGAAGTCGTAGCTAGCAGGGTCTATCATGTCACAAGGTGCAGTAGGTGCTCATCAAATGGATTGGTTGAGGGTAGATCTGTATCATGAATTGACAGAGTTAATATTTGTGGATCATTAAATACCTATTCAAGTGGCTGAATGATTATCGAGCCTGGTCTCGTAACCTAAAGTTCTGGGATTCGATTCTTGGTGTGGTCACGCGGGTGCTCACTGATGAAAAGTCCTATACTAGGATGAAACAAGTGTCCAGCTATCCCTGCTTTTCATTGGTCTCTATTCGATGTTGGTTCATGACGAAATCTAACAACTGAAATTTCACTAATGCATTACATGATAAGGAAGACTATAGGTTGAAGTGTACAGTATATATATATATATATGTATATATATATATATATATATACTCTTCCCCCATTTCATAACCATGTTCTTTTCTTCTTCATCTTACGTTTACTGCGTCTTGCTAACTGTTGTAAAATGTGAAGTGACTTGAGGTGATGCATTTGTGTATGTACCCTCACCGGCAGACGTATGGACAAAGGGCTTGTTGGATGTCCTGGATGTCTGGCCCCATTCAAAAAGGCGTATGAACCGAACTCCGGTCACTGGCTGCCAATGGATAGTGGACTCCCTACTCCACTCCTACTGCCTTGTAGGTCACACTCGGTTGTGTAAAGGCTAGAGCTGCACTCTCAAACAAAAGGCCGAGCGATTCTGGGGTCATCACTCGTACCAAATTCCCATGAAACTTCATGAACTCTCTTCATCAGATCGCCGCGCCTGGGCAGCGATGATTCGAGATGTTCATGAAGCCGGCTCATCCTCCCGTAGGAGATAGCCGAAGTAAAGTAAAGTAAGTATGTACCCTGCTTACCTTCGTGAACATATTGGCCAGCTGATGGGTTGATTTTTGTCAACACTTGTAGAGATAGAGTGCTTATTTGGCCACCATTGGGATTTACCATTTCTTATTTGCTGAGAATATCTTGTACACTTTCCAAAATATGTTTTAAACACTGTTTCGAAACCGATTTCACATTTTTTAAAATAAGTGTAATTTTGCTCTGATGTTTGTTTAACAGACTATTATTAACATGTGTTTTCTTCCAACCATTTTGAAAATAGTTCCTTGCTTGTTTATTTATTGATTTAGTTGGTTCGACTTCATTGTACACACTTTGGTGGTTTACTCTGTGGGCATTTACTGTTATCCATGATATTGTTAACTATGCGACTAATTAAAATTAATGATGGTAAGTTTGTTATGTAAACGTTTTTCTACGTATCCTGCTGACTAGATATTAAAGTGTTTTACTTTAATTTTCTATCTAGTATGCTGAACTCATTTTTACAGTAGGTTTGAGGAAATCGTCCTCAAATGGGTGACAATGATGCCTTACATTCTTATATCAAGTTCACACTAAAATTTGATCTTGATAAAAAAGACTTTAAAATTCTGAACGCATTTACTTGGACTGTAAGTAATCACAAAACATGATACTTCCGTTACATGAAAGCTTTCTGCTGCCTCTACAGGGACGGGACCGTGGTGATTAGTTATCTCAGTAACATAGCCTTGGTATTATTCAACATAGAAAGTGTACCTACGCATTAGATTTATCATGCAAGTTAACGTAATTACTGTCTAAAGTTATTTATTGAAAATTATAGTTGCAGTGATGCATCATTTCAAGCTGCTATATTTCCAAATTTCACACTATAGAGGAGTATTGTTATTATTCACTTCGGTTCCAAGTGGAACAAAGGGCTTCAGCAGCACACCTCCACTTCATCTCGTTCTCTGAAGCTGTCTTCAGCTGCCGCCACAAGTGACCATTAGCTTTAATCTCCTCCCCCCACAATCTCCTTCATGTCCCCCTCGGACCCAAAAGCAACTCATCATTTCCCAATTAGGTTCCACCCGATGCCACTCAGCAGCCTCTTTAGCGTGTTTTCAATCTGTCACAACTTTCTTCAGCATATTTGTACGGGTGTAGAAGTAGAATAGTAGTACAGTAATTGAACAGAATATGAAAGGAGAGGAGAACTATCTGAAGTTTTTATGTTGAAAATATTCAGAACACCAAAATAGCTCAGAATGTAAACATATCTGTTGTTGTCGAATATTTCGTGTCATATCACCAAAACTTTTCAGCCATGAATTTTCGATATTCAATTGATCCCAGTTAGATAATCTTTGCTTCCATATTTGGCTCACGACAATAGTGGAAGTCTAATAAATCAATTCTAGTTTCTTGTGACATTTCTTATTTCGAAATTCTAACGTAGGATTTCTTTTCTCATAAGCCGGTGTGTCAACATATGGCAAATCGGTTATATCTGAAAATCAAGTGTCACTCAAATTATAGGTACTGGCTGAATGGTGTTGTGTTGTTCTTGTTGCCTAATAGCTTTATTAGAATTCTGAATTAGAACAGCTGGAGATTCCCTTGCCCAGGACATCTTAAAAATTTCGTCCACTACGCTATCATACACAATTTTATTTGCTTTGAAATCTTTATATTAGCAGAGAAATTTCTACTATATTCGCTATTCCATAACGATGAATTTGATGCTTATTGGCCGTAAATACAAGCAGCAAAACCTATTTTCATTTCTACAAAACTATCCATCCCCTGCTAATTTATGTAGGAGACAAACAGACAGATCAACATAGAAATTTGAACATGAGTGCATCACTTAAAGTCGTCACATTTTAAAACCATACACTTAAAAACATTTAGCTGTTAGACTACCAGTAGTAACCAAAGTGTAATAATGTATGTATGTGATCACATATGGAAATGTTATAATACTGTGATGCCCTTTGTTTGGTTAATGTTGTCCAAAGTTAAACAGCCGAAAGCTTCCATTTCCCTCTGTTTCATATATGATGTTGACTGACTGGATTTCACCATAGAACTTAGTACAGAAGCGCAGCAGTTCAAGTTGCCACAAAGGACAGTTAAAAGAGATTCAAAAGTGCTACAACAAGCAGAAATATGACAAAGAAAGAATAGTAGCATGGAAAAACAAGGTTTAATGGATACAGGATATCAAAAAGAGTGAATGCATCTGTACCATTGAGAACGACTTTGAGCCATGTCTCCAATAGTCTTCAACCATTGGTTCTTAGGATCCCGACGACCCCAACCAGGCAGCTTACAGCCCAATTCGTAGATTAAACTAGCTGTCAGAGATTTCATGGACTGATGCCAGGTTTTGGTTTAACCATCCTTAACTCTTTTTCAACTTGATGATCCTATGTCAGCTAACATTGACCATCGGGGAAGGCAATGGATCGGAATGCGCAAAATGTATCCTAGTTATCTCAGTCGGTTCGCATCACCTCTGCGCCTAATCTCAATGTGACTCACCATATAACGCGGGAAACAGAACGCAAACCTCTGTTGACAAAGATAGCTTGTCATATTTGGTGCTTGTCGTTGATAAATGCTTCTGTAACCTTGGGGAAATGCATGTATCCTCTTACATATGTAGCGTATCAGATCTGATTACAATGTCAGTAATGCTAAACCTTATTTTCAAAAGTCTGTTTCTTATGCAAACAGCTAATGAGAATTCTCCAAGTAAAATCAAGTTTATTAGTATCACGCTTTCATCCAACAAGTCATGTGTTCAAATCCCGTTTTTTTACTTACGTTGGCCCGGACAGCAGAGAAAGTATTATGAATGTTCACACATCACTTGTGTTTCATAGCCTGGGAAAGTATACCAATAATCTGAGTGGTAGTATTTATTACTCGCTCAAAGAAGTCTCATTGCTTCATTTACATTGTACTAAAGGGGATGTGTAATGTGTAGTGCTAAATTAATTAATTTATTTGTTTTTCTAGCTTCGTCTTTTTAGTAGCTTACTCTACACTCTTATTGCTTTCGTATTTGATTATGTATTATTTTTGTTTTCAGATAATTATTCTGATTACCCTCGAAGGTCTTTGCAAGTCAATGAAATCTACTGTCATTTAGCTGTTATTATTATTCATTTCATCAGCTTCCAGTTGTTTCACCTACCGTAAGTTAAATTACGTTGTTCACTCATGAAGGTGATAATTAAAGTTGAAAACAAACCTTAGATGCTAGCTAACTCTATGAATGCAATCAATAATCGGTAGCTTAACAACTCGATTTTCTGATGAGCCATTTACGTTATAAGACTATGAGATTATTTTATGTTATAATAACGTTGTGGTTGTACGTAAAAAGGAAATATTGGCCGTGTTAGTAGAATTCAAATTGGTAGCTTTTCATTTGCCAGTCCGACAATTAGGAGTTTAAACAAAGGGTTCAGTCTCGAACCCTTTGTTTAAACTTGAGTTAAATTTTTGTGTTATTTTTTCAAATTTTGTAATGCTTAGACCACAATGTCTGTTGTTAATTTCATTTTTTTTGTGGAGGAGTGTACGTTACTGTTTGATCTTAATCCCCCTCGGATGACATTTCGTTATGTTTTTCGTTTTTTTTCATCTAATTTTCACCACTTTCCAGAAATCCCCAGGTTATCGTCGAAATTGTTATATATCAAATCTTATCTCCGCGTATTCTACTGGAACAGCTTAATCCCTTTCAAGTTAGATGTGGAAATAAAGGCATTTATAAGCATATTTTACTAAGAAATTGAGTGGATATGGAAAATACATATTCTTGACGAACGCTATCCGATGTAGCTGTTTCACGTGATAGTATGTCGTAGGCCATATAACGACTGTAAGCATTAGGGTATGAACCTTTCAACACTGAGATGTACTAAAAAGATATTCATTCCAGTATAAGGAGTTGCCACAATGTCTCTTGTTCAATAGAGCAGACCATAATCTCCATGAGCCTTTGTTCACTACTGTCTAAGCGAAGTTTATTATCTAATTTTGAATATATGCAGCCAGGTCTGTAACTAGTTTTGTTGTTTAATTGTGATGTGATCATAAACAATAAGTATCATCAAGTAAATAATGCTGCTTCATTGTGATTTATCCAATGAGCGAACTTATATGAAAATACATACTACCAGTGTCCAAGTTATTGATTTGAGTTGTTGCAGTTGTTATGAGAAAAGAGTGAGTTATTTGTACTGGCAGCAAACAAGTTGCCAGCATGAAGCATTTAAACAATAGGTGTGGCTCTTAACGTGATACATGATACATATATGCATATCATTCATGCCTAAGTCGAGATTTTGTGATTTACTTGTTATGATCAGAAATTGGTCCATATCATTACAAATAAAATGAGAATTTTCTTTCATTTTTTTTTAGATTTTCTGAATGGATTGAATTACAACAATCTGGTCAACTTGGTTTATGTTTGATAAATACACTTCAAACACCTGCGGCTTTTGTCCACTTCCCATACGTTGAAGTAATTCTAGCTCATCTCCCTTTCCTAATTATTTCCATTCCTTGGGCTTTTCTTATTCCTGTGGGCAGTTACCTCCTTGATGGGTTTTTCTTGTTTCTCTCTCAAATGATTAATCGAAATTACTCAGAAAAGCCGAATGATAAAACGTAAGAAACTTTGAAAAAAGTCATTTTTCATTATTATACGTGATGGTGATATGTTTTTCTTGGTAAAAATTATAGTGCCTATTATAAGTTATGCTGTAAAATGCTCGGCTCTGATCGAAATCTATCGTTCAAATATGTGTTTATGTATGCGTCAGGTGACGTGATGTGACACTCTTATCCAATATGATTCACTTCTGCATAATTTTATAAGAAGTCCTACTCTGCATTATTTTCATGCCTGATTGGCATTCATCAGCAAGTTTTCACATCTTTAACCTTGAAGGGACTGATATTCCCCCTAAGATTCGAATCCAATGGCTGTTTACATTTTTTAACCTCACAAACATAAATGTGTAAGTCAATATTAATGTTCCTTTTGATTTCTTTTCCCCTTCCTTCATTTTTATAATAAGGGTATCGTCTTCTCCAACCTTATTAATGGTCATGACAATGCTTTGCATCTTGTTGATTGGTTGGATTATTTGTGAATCATTAGCTGTTCTTTTGTTAAGTTTACTACTGTTAATCAATGTAAGTCTAGATTCATCTGTGTGTTTAGTTGTTTTTTCGTTATTATTATTATTCCATTGGGCTCTGAGTAGAACAAAGGGCTTCAGGAGCTTTGCTCTATTCTCTGCATTCCTATTTAGCTGGCTCCATGATTACCCATAAGTTTTCATTTTCTCCCGACATAGACTCCTCAGTGTCACCGTTGGACGTTTAGGTTGTGGTTTCCCAGGCGTGTGATGTCGCCCAGTAGTGTTCTCAGAGTATGACCAGTCCATCTCCTTTTCTTTTGCAGATTTATTGGGTGATAGTTTCTAGGTTAGTTTGTTGCCACAGTTCTGTCCATATGGTCACCAGTGTGGAGCAAATACAGCTATTGAATACGGGCTATTAAGCGTAATGAATAGTTTAGTCTATCAGAAAAATAATTTATTACTTATAGTTGTAGTGATAAAAGATTCAACTTGCATACGGTATCTTTAGAAACTAAACAGTCGACACTCGGGATTTAATTGTTATGACGAAAAGAATTCCCTGTAAATTGTACAGATGAAAGGAGTATATAGTAAAATGCATAAACATCACGACGGGTTTTCTTAAACCCTCGCATCATTTCTTTTAGCATAGTCAGTGTTAATGTGAAATTAACAGTCTGAAAGTTCCGTAGAGCTTGGCTGTCGTTCTAACATTATTCACCAATCCATTACAATCAGATCATTCTTGTGAAATTGAAGCGTCTGAGATCATGTAACACTTAACAATCTGCTCCTCAGTAATGCTGATATTATAGTGCGAAAACCTATCTGCGCACCTGGTCAGGTAGGTGGTAGTAAAGAAAGTTATATATCTGTCACTCATGTGGCTACTATGAAAAATCTTTGGTAAATGTAGTTATATTGAAAACAGATCAGTGGTTATGTGTTACATGGCTCGCTTGCTAGTAGGACAGACCGGCAAAGTTGGAAGCGGCTTACTCACTTTCTGTCGCTACAAATATTCTTCCTCCATATCAGGTCAATCACAGATAGTATTGTGGCAAGTGCTACCGACAATATTTATCAGTAGTATATGAAGAAACATTCATCAGCACAAAGATATCAAATGGCGAAGAGATAGATTTGACGTCAAAGAGTATTGCGGCAATACACTGGAGACATGAAAAGATGACAAAGTAATACAATACGAAGGGCAGAAGTAGTGCAGCACAGAGGATCTATGCAACTGAGATTTTCATATAAGGTTTACATAACCTCCCTTTTAGTAGATATCAGATTCCATATATATATATATATATATATATCGTCCTCTAAGGTGAATATTCTTTTCCCTAAAAAGTATGTTTTAAAGTGACTAGGGATATTTTTAGCATTAGTAAATCATTTGAATTATATTTAGATTATTTGAAACTACTGCTGCTGCTGATCTTTTTTCAGTATTATAAGGGAGTGATACTTATCAGAATGTTTTCGTCGTTGCTTAGTTACTTCAGTTGTTGTTTACTACTGTAACAACTGCCTAATAAAATTATTATCAGTCTTTTTCATTTGCGTTATTACTCTCATTTCTCCTATGCATATTTAATTATGATCAGAATATGACTAATATGACTAATAAGGGATTAACGGTTACCTTAGTGTTTTCATATGGGGATGGAACATCTAGGTGCATACGTAGAATCATTCTTAATCAACTTACTTATTCATTCAAAGATAAACCATTTCGGTTTAACGATCTTAGTAACACAATCAGACAATCTAATCGGTCTAGCCAGTGGGGTGCAGCAGGTTGGGTGTGAGGACAAATACCAGTCAATGACATTGGCTTGTGGTCGCGTTATATCGTGAATTGGCAGAATTTGGAATTCATCGACAGGCCATTGGATCGGGTCCCAGTAGCTTAATGGTCTACGAGCTCCCTTTGTAACCGGAAGCTCCTGAGTTTGAATCCTTGAGGTGGGTGCGTACTGATGAAGAGTCCGAAATTAGGATGAAACCACTGTTCAATACTCCCAGGTTTTCCAGTTGTCATTTAACCGATGAATTCTGAAACACTATTTACTAACTGAAAGGTTTAACATATAAATCATTTGGTTATCAAAACGTCTAGATAGATCTTGCTTAAATGATCTGGAAAATGTAATTCATTCTTGTGTATAGACAGTCAATAGGGTTGGATAGGATAGAAGTATTAAATAGCAACATGACTGGTTAATCACCGAAGCTTTGCTCGGTTATTACATGTAATAGGGACGACGCAATACTGATCCTGGGTAAACGGAAAACTGCATTTAAAAGATGACTTAGTAAAATTCTACAATGTAAGTTGGGAAGTTTTATGAACAGATACACTGATATGATTATGAGCAATAAATTGTACTCGAAACGTCATCCAGTTATTATTACTGAGTTATATCAAATAAAGTTATCTAATATGGAGTTATGCCCTGCTACATCGAACAAATTTCTATACTTATCTTAGTGGATTCTCGTTGATTTATTTAGTAATCGTTTGAAAAATGCAAATTAATATTAAAATTCAAGACGTATTGTCAGTGAAATATCAAATCACTTTCGCAGCAAATGTCATGATAAATCGTCCATCTGTATTTATCACTGTTACCCCTAGGAAGGAAACAGTGTGGGTATAAACTTTGACTTCAGTAACATTAAATGTGGTACAACTGGAGATATCAGTTTAGAACATCTGTTCAGCAACACAGGACGAAAAATAAAGCTTTTTATCACAGGAAGTGATTGACTGAAAAACACAGAGATGTTTCACTAAGAGCTTTTGCGTAGTCACCTAACTTATTCTATTAGTACTTTCAGGTTTGATCACGAGATGACCATCATTTAGAGAACCTTTGGAAAATTGGGGAGTATTGAATAGTTGCCTCTTCCTAGTCTGATACTCTTCAGTGGTACACACCCACTGGGATTTGAACTTGTCGGCTACAAGGCGACCTCGTAGACCATTCAGCAACCGGCGGGTCCGTACTGAGGAAGAGTCCCAGATTAGGGGGGAGACCGCTGTATAGCCCTCCCTGTTTTTCTGACGCTTTCCTAACCGATATCAGATCGTCATAGAAGCAGTAGCCAATCAAATTCCTGTAAAACAACACTTTATACTAGAACTTTCATCTGAATGGCAAGAATTTGTTACCAGATTGTGTACGTCATGCAAATATTACTTCTATCATTCATCAGTAGTATACGTTTTTAATAAGAAAAATGATCATAGATATTAGACATTTTAGAATTTAATTGGTGGATGGTGACTAGCAGTGGAATCCAGGATGTGCATTTCGTCCTATTTGGGACTCTTCACTGGATGTACCTGCATTCCCCAGTGAGTGATGGTGTTCCCACCGAGGCTCGAACCCAGTGCCCATAGTTTCAAACGCCGAAGGGTTATCCACTAGATCACTTGGGCCACGAGAGCTACCTCTTATGCAACGGGTCATATTTATTATATAATTGAATCGACGGGAAAATCTAAAATTCAGTGAGACATTTTATATTAGAATACGATCCCTACTATGTGCATTTTGTGTAATTTCTGTTGTCTTTGATTTATTTTGTTAGAATTGTTCATTTTGCCGACAAAATCGTATCAATAGTGAAGCAGTCAAATTTTTCAATGTACCAGGAAATATTGTCTCTACAAATGAAGAAAAGCAAAAATCTGCTAATCATCATGCAAATACTGATCATTCTTATGCTAATATTAAGAAATTAAAAGGGACACCCTCGTCAGTAGAGTATAAACGAAAGAATTACGCCACATTGTTTTATTTATTGAAATGGCGAGCATTTATTTTACTTGTTCTCATTAGCTTACTAATGTTAGATGATTGGATATCACTTTTTGTGCGTGTTAAAGAGTCATATTTCAGGTTAGTTCATTGGGAAATATTTTTTTACTGTTTTTAATGCTTAATCGCATTATATTTAGATGTATCTGTTTGTTGTTCGTATCTGCTTGGTTGTTGTATGTGTGTACGTGTATGTGCAAGTGGTAGTTTAATTAAAAGTTTTGTAAAATTGAGAAAGCACTTGTCTTGTAGTTCTTATACTTTTAAAATCAATTGTACTTGATATTGTATGTGGAACTAATCTATGATGAATGGCTAGATAAAGCATTGCTGCCCTTCTGATATTTGAGACGTTCTTGTATAGTCTATGAATATTATTCTTATGCCTGTAATCGTACTTGTGTATACACGGAGGTTCCCATAGGCGAACCACTTTTCATGTCAGAGAGTTTGATCCAACGTATGCAGTCAACGATGGTGAAAATATGTGTCTGTCAGATTGGTAATTGTTTTTCTAACTACTCTGCTTGTTTCACTGCGAATTGTTCAAGAGCCTGTGAACTGTGCTCTGGGGACTCAGGTGTAATGAATAGTGACATAATGCGATTTGCTACTGCTTACACAAATAAACTTTGTGTTATGTTTAATCCATTGAATTAAGTAATTACTTTGACAGTATGATTTATTCGGAATAAATCTGCTGAAGAAACTGTGGCTTACACAGCGAAACGTTCAGAAAAATCTTGTTTCGATTTTCTTAACACGCTGGGATTAATTTAAATAATTTATAATGAATCAATCTGACTCGGCGCTCAAATTATTCCAGGAAGTTCGTAACACCTACGGCCTGGAAACCTATAGTTTAGTGAATAGGTCTGTAAGTGGTGAGTTGTTACATTTGAGTTCCCTCAGGTGGTGTTGAAAGATAGTTATTCATTGATGATATCGAATTGAGATGGCGTTGTTTGGTGAATTGAAAGGAGTTGAAAACCACAAACTATTTTAATTTTAATCTGTTCGTTTTGTAATATAACTACCCTTGACTGCATGCCTTCATGATATCGTGAGCTTGCATTCCTGAAGAATCACGAACCAGGGGAAAATATCAGTCCCGAAGGGATTTTTATTTCATCTGGTTATCCGATCATTTGTAGTTCATAAGGAAATTTGCTGTATAAATATATAATTATTGAGTTGCATAATTTCACTGCGATCACTCATGCTAAACATTTATTCGTATATACCCTAGTATATTGATTTATGTCTCTCGGTGAACCAAGTTTTACCACTGCATATTTTTAACTAGAAGGCATGAAAAGTAGGTATAAAGTTGAAGCGAATTGCTAGTAAAACTTTATCACCTTTAAAAGCCCCCGACTACTTAGCCCTCCAACACATCACAGATCTAAGTCAATTGAAATTTCGAAGTTCCCCTATGACAACTCAAAACGGTGACGGATGGTTTAATTTTATGGTTTTGCATTTTCAAAGTTTAGTATAAAATGTTATTTGAAGTCAGTGGATGCTGAGGCATCTGCATTTCTTGAGTAGTATCTTTTGTCATATTTCTCCCTTCAGCCATTTGAGAAGTGACTGAAGGATCGAATTTCACTTTTGTAACACTACAACTTATGTTGCTGTTTTAAAAAAAATTTTTATTTCAGTCTATCTGGTGTTTTATACAGCTATACACCTATGATGCATTCCAGTCGTTTGATACCAAGTACTCTTATCCTGCTATGTACATCGGTATGGTTATTACAATTTGACTTAGTTCGTGTTCACTCATCGTCGTCAACATCGCCATCGTTTCGGTGGTCCTTATCGTCATCCGCATTACTGACGTCATCTTTAGTGTGCATACTTAAGAAAAACGCTGCAGTTGATACCATCACTAATGACAGTAATAATAATAACAGTAATAGTAATACCAGTAATGATGATAATAATATTAAACAAATCTATTACTTCTTTATGTTCTCTTGTAAAATTATTGCTGTGTGTTTATTATTCGGTGTTTTCAACTTGGCTATATCATTATATCGTATTGTACAGTTAACTGTGCTTAGTCTTGAATGTATTGCCTTGATCCTCTGGTTCTCTTATAGATCTTATCATCCTAACAGCAGTAGTTATGAATATGTACATAAAGTGAAAAAAATGTGTTAAAACTCTTTTCATCAATAAAAAATTTTTTATACTCCTTGAACTATTTCTTCTATCTGCTTTGTTATTGAATCTTTAATATATTCACCAAGGGATACTGTGGATACAGATATGATTTCTAAATAGCGTTTCGAGTGAGATCAATATTAACATCAGCTTATCAGATATCACTTAGTTATCTGTAGTATTTCGATAGTTTGTTATGTAGAGTCGCCTATCATTGGTCTCAGTTGTTTTCGCGAATCTCAGCTGAACAAAATACATCAATGTAAATAAACCAGTTGTGGACTTTATACGTTAAGATGTAATATGAATAGGTTAATAGTGTTAATAGAAAATTGTAGTTATTTATCAGCTTGAAGGCATCCAGCTATTTGAATTGGAACGACAGTTATTGTTTTCTTTGATGATTAGTAATATACTAGTTAAAGTACATTGATCCTCATTATTTCGTGGAGTTTTATGTTGTTTTTTCAGCTGGATCATTGAATTGTAAGATTTTGATTGTCCTTTTTAGTCCATGAATTCTAACTTCTGCCAGTTCATGACATAGCACTACCACTTCGTGATGTCATCTTCGATGAGTTACTGCCTCACCTTCAGCCTGCTACAAGCTACTGGTCACGGCTTCCCACGAGAACCCCAGGTCACTGCTTGAATAGGACCAGTCGCTAGTGAGCATCACATGAATTTTCAAGTGTTGGGGATTTAGTATGATTGGTTGGAGGATTTCATCATGAGCTGACATCGTATAGAGAACCACTGGAAAACCTGGGAATGTTCGGAATGTTACATGAATAAAATAATCATCTTTCTTAATGACTCGAACTGTGATTGGTCGTCTACAAAAGTTTTCTTTATTGATATTTTCGTTGACCTGTTATTTACCTTTCGGCAGAGTGGCCTGTCTAAATCATTGGGTTTATGTAATTGTTATGTGTAGTTAAAAACTGGCTTGTAGTCTATCATTCGGGATTCAAATTATATAAAATGTTGACTATATTTATCGGTTAGTCAGACAAATAATCATTCAGAGAGATGTTTACCACTCGACCTACATTGCTGCGCGATTATTTGCTAGAATACTTCCGGAATATTATTACTTTTAAGTGTTAGTTTCTTCGGATGTGATTTCTTCAAGTTTGACCACAGGTTGGTGTTACTTAAAGAACCATAGAAACTAGGGAATACTAGGTAGCTGTTTTGTTCTGATTCTGGACCCTTCATCAGTAGGCACTCATGCCTCCACAGAAGGATCGAATCAAAGACTTTCAGGTTACAAGGCAAGCTCGGTGACTATTCAGTCACACGGACGGAATTCAGTGGCCCATGAATCATAACTTATTATTATTATCTAGTTGTTTCACCCTAGCTTCGTTGGGATGTGCGTACTAGAAAAATCCACTGGGAAATTAAAAGTCGGTCTGAACGAATACCAGTCTTTTCATAAATTCTCTTCAGGTTCTTGCAGATATAAAGTGTAGTATTTTGTCTTTAGAATGGTAACCACTTATGTGGTGGATACATTTTTGACCACACATTTCTTTGCCAAGTCAATTTATATGGAACGTGAAGGTCAATTAAAATACACACAGGTGTTGGGCTGCATACAATTACAAAGTACTATGACATGCGAGACGATAATGGTGATTAGTCATAATAGATTCATTTAACGTAGGGAAGAATAAATTGATTAGTCAGTTCAAGGTTGTCAAACGTGTCTGATGAATGGCTAGCGCAAAATAGTATTTCCAAGTGTTGGTTTGCAGGGATTTGATTGGTTACAAGTTTGATCACGAGTTGTCATCAATTAGAGAACCATTGGGAAACCTTGGAGTATCCACCATGTAATCGCCTATTATTGTAATAATTAATCTTATGTTTTATAACTGTAAGAACCTGAAGAGAATTTATTGAAAATAATATTCTTCGTTTTGACCGACTTCTAATCAATGCTATGGGACTATTTCACACTCTTATATCTTACTGGGAAATTTTCAAGAGTTCATCACCAGTAAATTTTATTTGTGTGAGTAGTTAGAGACTATAACATAACGTATTAAATTTTACCCCCATTTTACATTGAATCATATATTCAGTTACATTCTTAAATCGCACACCCATATTTAAATAACTTCCAATACACTGCTGTACATTTTTGTAGGAACAAAGTCATAAATATTTGGAGCATGCTTCATACTGAATAATACTGCACTGAACGATATACTGTGGATTATTTTCACCAGACGATTCTTTAGAAGAAGTGAATATAATGCCCCGAAGATATTGTACTGTAGACTAGCGTGTTGTTCAGAATAAGGTTATCATTATTATTCGTTGATTAATATATCTGCTTCATAGAAGCGTGTTTGTCGATCTGAATAACCTTATAACCAGACTGCAGGGAATTCTCTGGCATTTTTAGTATTTCCTGTGTGTGTTTGTAACTTCTTCTATTTGGGCGTCCGCTTCGATTTCGACTCAAGAATAGTGAAATAAAACACTAGGTGGCAATTACGGCTACGTATGCGACTGGAAGAAATGCAGCAAATTTAAATGGAGGAAACAATAAGAATGATAACGGGTTCCTACAAGCCGGATATTCAAACTGGTTAGCACTTAACAGACGTGTTCATTTTGAGTAGATTTATCACCAATTAAGGGACAGTTTGCATGGTAGAAAGGTCAAAATAAAACAAATTATATTGATACACGTGAACATTTTTCGCTTGTTTATTTTATTCCTTTGCGTTTCGGGTGGAACATAGGGCCTGAAGCTTGGACTTTGATGCTTCAGTAGCAGTGGTGTTTTTTTACGGAGTGGGGTTGCTAGTCTTATACCTAACCTTCCCTCTTGATTGTGTTTAGACCAGATAAGGGAAGTAAGTGTGTGCGCCGGCCAGGAGTCGAATCGTGGACCAATTGCATAGTTGGTAAGCATTCTACCCCTGAACCACCGACTCACACATACGTGAAAATAATGATTAGAAAATCTCTGGGGCGACAAATCACACTCGAGATAAGCAAGAAAGATAGTTGTTTCATATATGTAGAATTTCAAAAGTTCAATTCACGTCAAGTTGGCGTTGAAGAACTTGTCTTGAAGGACAATTAAAGTCTTGTGAGTCACGGATACAGCTCAAGGGACATAACAACACTAGATATGTCAGCCTGAGCTACAAATCTTCTCCATCACTTCAAAGTAGGCTTCTGCTTATTTGAGAACCCAAGTGTGGTGGTGTAATACAGACAATGTGTTCCAAATAGAATATGATTCTCACATATTCTCACAGTTCAATACCGCTTTAGCAACAGAATAGTATGTATATTTGAACATTTTATTGCATGTTTAATGTAAACCAAAATCACAAGCTCAATGATTGGTGAGAGAATATACAACCATGTCTCGCCATCTGTTGTTACAAAAGTTTTTAAGAATTTTCAAAGCTATAACGAAATGACTTTATTAGCCAAGTGCACATTTGTGCACTGTTTATTACTACATTGGTAATGACACTGTTAGTACAATTGAGGCTTTTAAAAAGTATAGCAAACACGTGGAAAAACTGGAATACATATTGAACACTGATGCCAAACAATTGATTCCATTATCCACAGCAAAAAAGTTCAAATATCGCTCAGGCATTTTACTGATTTACAACAGCGTTTCTCAGGAATAAACATTTATTATCATTATTATTTTCTTGAGTTCCGAGTGGAACATAGGACTTCAACAGAACCTATCCACTTTTTCCTATTCTCTGCAGTCCTTTTAAGTTGGCCCCACGAATGTCCATATATTCTCGTCTCCTTCTCTCACGATCTCCTCCATGTCACCCTTGGACTCCTAATTTGTCGTTTCCCATTCCAGTTCCAATCAATGGCCTCGTGTGCTATGTCATTCGACGGTCTCCTCAGTGTGTGTCTGATTATCCACCTTCATTTACTTCGGGATTTTTGTTGATTTGTTCCCATAGCTTCTTTTTTCTGGTCATTTAGTCTTCAGTATTGAGCAAAGGCAGATGTTGATAAAAGTCTGCAGTGGCCTGTTGGAAATGCTCTTCGTGATGTGCCAAGTTTCTGACCCACATAGAAGAAGTGACTTAACACTGGTCTTGAAAATCCAAATTTCGTTCTTTATTCTGAGTTCAGAAGATTTCCAAACTGATTTCACAGTGATGAAAGTCTGTCTCGGCTTTCCTATTCTAGCCACTTTACCTACAAAGGAGAATACAACGACTCTCTGCACTTCCTCGACATCCTACTAACGAGAAGAGAGGATGGTTCTGTCAAAAGAACCATATTTATAAAGCTAGAGACCAAAGCCCACTATACACACTTCCTTATCTTCGTACCTATGAAGTACAAACGTAATCTGATCAGGTGCTTAGCATTTAGAGCCAGGTCGATTTGCTTCGAAGATTGTGTAAATAAAGAACTCCATGTTATCCGGAATATTCTAAGCGAGAACGGATATCCAGAGAAGTTTATTAAAGCCAATATAAGTTACAACAGTCGTTAACATGAATTGGCAACGGTGGAGAAAAAGCCCTTATTTTTAAATCTAGAATTCAGGGGAGATACTTCTGTGGAGATTCTATCGCAACATTTAACCAGAGCGATAAAGAAGACTTTCTGCTCTACACACCTGTTCACCCAGAAACTGAAAGATGTCTCACCTAACCTTAGCTCTTCTTCATGCATTTACCATTTCAGCTATTCCTGTGGTAAAATAATGCGTACGATCAGGCAGGTTCGTCTACGGGTTTGACAACATTTACGAGTTTGTTTCGGCAAGTGGGAAATTAAAGGCATAAAAAGGTTCATTTTGTCACACTTGATCAATACTAGACATCTCAATGGCGCCAACCAGCCTTCAAGGCTTTACCTTGGATTCCGAAGTCGTTATCACGTCGAATTGGCTTAACTCTCCTACGTATAGCTGAAGCTCATTATATAAGTTTTTATATTTCCAAAAAGACCACATCCAGGCGCTGTTCCTACCGTGGCCAAACTTAAAGTTTCTCTTAATATCAGTAAAAA